TGTAGATGTCAGTTGAGATTAATGCGTGTGCGACGGGTGAAACGAGAATGGATCGCAGCCTCGGACCATGAAGGGAGGCGTGTTGCTGTAGATGTCAGTGAAGGTTTCTGCCACCGGCAGCTCTGCGTCATTCTTTGCATGTTCCACCGCCGCGTCGATCTCTGCTCTCACCCCAACGTCAATTTCCTGGGGTTTCAAAAGAGAAAGAGGTGGGCATTGATCGCCTTGCTTGAAAGGTACAACTGGAAATCAGAATGTAATGACAGCAAATGTTACATAACCAGCGAATGGTTGAACCAAGTGTGAAATCAACTAATGTAGACTCAAGCACCCGTGTTAAAGGACATGTGCAATTCATCAATCATTCTAAATGAATATCCAGTTCCAGATTTTCAGAGCCCTCTCACCTTGAGTTCCTGGGCAGTGGCCAGCCCGCTAGTCGTAATCCGATCCTTGAAGTTGGTGATGGGGTCTCGTTGTTGCCTGATCTCCTGTACCTCATCCCTGGTACGATAGCTGGTACCCGGATCGCTCATGCTGTGACCGCTGTAGCGATAGGTCTCAACCTCCATGACAAGTGGTCCCTGGTGCCCAACAACAAAAACAGAAAAAAAGAAAACGGTATCAGTTAATGAAGCACGCTCTATTCATGAAGTCTGAATAGTTGTCCAAACGGTGTTTAAGGCATGGCATCGTTACCCCTGTATACGACACTTATAAAGCATTCCAAAGACCATTTCATCTCTGGAGCTTTTCCTTTGGTGAAGTGATGGCGTATTCAGAAACACCTGAAAACAACAACATGACACTCACGGTGCAGCATCATCACTGGTCTACTCCTGATTATCAGGTTTATTCCAAGTAGTTCAACCCTAGTTGCTCAACCAATGTTTCTGCTTGTGTTCAAACCAACACACAATGTACAATGACCCACCTTGCCTGATCTGCAGTAGTCGGCAGCAAACTGTGTTGCCTCTCTGACAGCAAGGACATCCATTCCATCAACCTAACGAATACGAAGAGGATTTTTAAAAAGTGATTACAAAATAAAAAAGAAACATGAAAAACGGTAGACTCTTCAGCAATGGATCACCGAACCTAGACTTATAAAGAGCATCCAAGGTGCTCAATAGTTACCCCTGCTCGTCGTGCCTATGAAGCTCTCCAGAGACAATGTCACCTACCTGGAGGGTGACCAACCCAGTACTGCCAGTCTGGCAAGCGGCTTGAGGGCCATCACCTGGATTGGAATGTCTCACCCTCCACTCCTAAGTCACAAACCCAAATCACCGGGCCACACTCCGCCACTCAAATAATGAGAAGTACAGACCACCCAGTCTTACCCAGATTCCTGGCACGTAATCCCCTCGTGTGTAGTAGTCCGTCGAAGCGGCCGCTCTCTCCACCGCTGTGCCCATGCCGTACTTGTTATTCTCGCAGATGAATATGCACGGCAGATCCCAGAGTTTGGCAATGTTGTAGGCTTCAAAGATCTGGCCCTGGTTGGCAGCGCCGTCACCGTACAGCGTGACGCAAATGCTTTCCGAGCCGTTGTACTTGAGGGCAGTGGCTATGCCTGCTCCAAGTGGAACCTTATTCGTTTATTGAGAGAACAATCAGTGAAAGCAACATGGTTGATGAAAACAGTAAGAGAAATCTCAAAGACATGTTATCTGAGCAATATTTCCTTGTCAGGCTCTGTCACATCAAGCAGAGTTCATTCAGCAGAGTCCTCTAAGCTAGATCCACATGGTTACTGTTCTGAAAGGCTAACAGACCTTCCGCAGCATTAAATTCTGCATGGTTTGGACAGTGCACGAATTGTATGTAAATATTTGGATAAGGAAAACTCCAAAATTGAGCCAATCATTTTCCTGGCTTAAACCACATTTATATTTACCTGTGCTCCCACGATGCCATTTCCTCCGTAGAAGTTCTTGGTGTACATGTGCATAGACCCTCCTTTTCCCTTGGCACATCCAGTCCGACGACCTACAAAATGGAAAAAAAACAGAAGACCTCAAGTCACAAACTTTGCTTAAAGCTTTACACTTTCTGTCAACATTTATAATGCAAACCAGCTCATCTGAGTGTTGAAAAGTCAAATTGAAGGTTACTGGTTTGAATCTCTTGTTAGTCAACATTCTTTGTAGGACTGAATAGTAAATAGCATTTATTTAAATAAAGTAGACTGTAGGAACTTCGAATTATCAATCAAGTTAGCGATCTCTGCTTGTATTCATTCCACTCACCAACCAGAAAGTAAAGTAAAATCTTTGGACACAGTTTGTGGTACCCACTGCTACATCTGGCTTGGACTGGCCGGCCGCAATGGCAAGCTCGATTGTTAACCATTTTGTCTACACTGGTAAGCAGGAGGTCATGGGTTCGAATCCCAGCCAAGTAAGCTTGTGACTTTTGTTTTTACTAGTTCTCGCACAACACTGAGCGCACAGTCTGTTACTAGCTGGGTACCAACTGTTTTACCTGTTAATTCAGTGAGTATTCCGGTCACCGGGACTCCCATGAGATAGGTCCAGCCATGGGCTCTGTATGCTGTAATCACTGCATCGTCTTTCTTCATAGCTGCCACGATGCCGACAGCACAGGCTTCCTGTCAAAGTAGTTTTTGAAAACATAAATAGTTATCTGTTTAAAAATTGCAATTTACTGAATTTTAAAGATGTCAAAACTATTCCAAGTGTAGGATCTGCCGAATTTCATCACTTCTGGGTATGTTTGGTTGTAATTATCAGCCTCGGCAAGGTTGATGCAAGCAAACATTTATGCAAATATGACCAGCAATCACTTGTTTATAAAATGCCCCAACTTGTTCTAATGCGTATGCTGCATAGCGCCATCCGTAGTCACTGTGAAGAGCCAATATCACTTGTATGAAGAGGGCTCTCTTCCAAATCTCGGATTAATCTCTGCTTCAGCCTTCCCTGGAGCTCTACAATCAATGTCGCTGCAAGTCCAACACAGATTCCTAAGCCACCCCGCTCCCTCGACTATTTGTACCTGGCCAGAGTAGAGATGACAGAAGCCTCGGATTGCCTTGGACTTGTACAGGTTTCCTGCTGCTGTCTCTAACCGTCTGATAACCTGCATCTTTCGGTATAACTGAAGGGCTTCATCCCTGGTGACAGTAACATTGGCCGAGGGACCAAACTCAAGCTTGTGAAGTTTGTAGTCCTAAATAGAAAGCATTAAGGTATCAATAATTATTACACTTTTAATTCCATAGCAATCTCATCCTAAATTTGCACCTTTTTTCTAAAATTTTCTTCGATCTTCATTCACTTCCAGTTAATTTATATTCCAGGCTTGTAGGCTTTCTGAGTAAAGTTTCACATTTATAAGTGGGTGTTAGTGAAGATGCTCATGCAAGTAAAATCAAACAATTCATTGAGATTATTACCAATGATTACCAAGTTAAAGCACAAGAACAAATTGTTTTGAAAGACAAGCTTTACACAATTCATTGAGGTGTAAAGCCTGAGAAATCAAACAGGTGCTTTTGTTTCTCACCAAAACTGAGAAGGACGCTTCCGTTTGCTCGGTACTGTACTGATATCTGACAGCTGCTGGTAGAACCCTCTGTAATCAAACAACAAAAGTGACAAAGATGACCATGCAGTGAACAGACCCAGAGAAATGGTGACAAGGCAGAATTTTCCAATCACACTTTCAGGAAAAAAGTCACAAATTTTTGTTTGCAATTCAACATGACACTGATACATATATATGAACAAAGACTTGTAAGCCACATGGTTATAAAGTACATCATATCGGGACCAAAATAAAGCAAAAACATATGGCGATAAAGCCAGACGGAAACACAGTCACTGAATTTACCTAAGCAAAACCTCTGACCCATACTGCCATGAACCTACTATCACTAATGACACAAGTCAAGGTCTGCACTTAGCCTGTTCCCCATCACCCTCAACCAAATTGCTGCCGGGGAACCCGGTTTCGGGTACTGTGGGTTTGTATGCATAGCTGGGGTGCCCGAAATTGGACAAAAGAGCTGGACCTAGTAACAAAAGACCGTACTCTGAAAAAAAGACCTGCTGCTGGGAATTGCCATCATTTTTCAGCTGGCATTTATCAGAGGTAATCGGTCATTGTTTAGAAACAGTATACCACTGTTTTCGGCATAGCGCCCCCGTGGATTAGCACCGCGGACAAATGTGCTCCAGATCCCCATCGATAAGCGATACAATACTGCTGCAAGCCGCGTTTGAAAAGACGCTACTGGCATTCATTGGGAACAAAGGAAATTATGTAACACCTCACAGCTCTGGGCTCTCTTTACAGGGTGGCAGGCCTGGCTGAAATTCTCGGATGTCAATGGAGGTGCATATCAGATAAGAGTAGACACCAGACAGTCATTCGCGTGGATGTACATGAAAACGTCCATTAAATGAAATTGTGAATTTTTGAAGGATTTTGAAAATGGAAAATCTCGAAAATCTCCCATGTGGAGGCACTGCATTTTTTTAAGCACCCGTCAGCATATGGATAAAGGGTGAATACATTTATTTAACTATTAATTGCACAATAACACAGGTCAACACTTCTACATGTGCATGATACATGTACCCTAAATATACGGATGAGTACAGCAAGTATATGTGTAACCCACAATGCTTTGTATCTCGAAAGCAAGCTTTGACGTACTTCTGTTGGGCATAATTGGTCGATCTTACTGCACGATTTTTATTAATTCTGCTGCCAGCCAATAGCATTTTCTAATTCACAGTTGTGAAAGACTGTTTCCAAACAGGAAGTTATGTTGGCGATTTCATGTAGGAAGAAGTGCAGAGAGATTGCAAAGATGGGCCAATTGCACACAACATTTCCTTCACAAAACTTTATGAACTGCATTTGCCTTTCCCAGTGAACTGTATGGGTGATCAGGTCAGAGGCAATTGAAGGTATCCACTGGAGTTTGTGTGTTCAGGTGTTACCCCCAGAACTGTGGGGTTTCAGGTGTTGCACTAAGGGGAATGAACTAGTTTGGTATTCCAAAAGCACAAGCCAAAAACGAAGCACGTAAGAGGTCATTCTCCATGTTTCCTGTGCACCTGAATGACCTTGCTTTTTGAAAATACCAAACTGGCTCATTATGGCTTTGTGCCATCCAGTGTTTGGAAGAGTTCCATATACGGATGCCGCTGGACACCTTGTCATGCTTGTGCACAAACCCTATGAAAAAACGTATGAGACTGGTTGGAAAAATTCCAAGTAGGCCTTGGCCTAAGTGTTTTCGAAGTAAATGAATCGATTTTTTTCCTTCTTAATCTTAAATTGAACTTTTCTGGACATGTTTTCGCTTTCTGACGGCTAACAGGTCACTTTAGGGATTAATTACTGACGTCCGTCATGTCCGTATAAGGAACTCTTCCCTGGTCTGCCGGTGTTTTAAAAGGTCACAGTGACGTAGTCACGTACAGGATATAGGCCGGCATGTAACAGTACACATGCAGGGCCTATGCCTAAACACTTAAAACAGTGATCAAAACATTAAAGTTTTGAGATGATTAAATAATGCAGATTTGAGGCATAGAATTAGCTTAAATCTTACAGATGAGTTTCGAGATATGGCGCCGAACCTCCGACACAATAATGCAAACATGTTGCTGAGAATTTAAGGTAATATCCTCTTCTTTCACAGCTAAACCTCACGCACTAGTATTACACAGTATATTATATGTCGACTACGCTGTCCCAATTCTTATCTGACCTTCGACCTAGATAATGATATTAACCTTCCACCAAAGACAGGCTGTCGATTTGCTTGAACCTTCTTCATTTCAAGATGCTCATGATTTAACGTGATTAAATACGAGGTTGAACGGCGACATTCCCGGCAGTCTAGCACCCTGTAACAACATGCAGTATAGCACACTGTGTAATCGTTGTAATACGTTTACTATTTCGTCTTGGGAACAGATTGTGTTTCGCCAAAAGCAAGATAATTTTGTAGATCTGAGAACCGGTGTCAGGATGTATCACCCTTTCCCCCAAGAGCATACCTTTTCCCTTTCAACCCAGCTACATAAATGTTAGGTCAGGGAAAAAGTCAGGCTTCAGCCAAGGTAGGCTTCGAAAAGATTCGTGGAAACATCGCTTTGCGATTTTTGAGTGGCTGGTTCAGAGAACAGAATACAGAAAACAGCAACGACGACGAGACGAAGACCGACGGGAGTGACGGAATCATGACCGGTGGTAGTCACAGAACTGACAGCCAGACGAGTACGAGTTCGACATCCACACAGGTTGTCTGCGTCTTCAGCTGCCAAAGTCCCAAAGATGCGTGCAACAAGGCCTACGCGTGTCTGCAGACAGCCTGCAAGAATGCCAACTCCACCAAACTCAGCCGAGTTGCATTCGAGAAGCTGGACTTCGGCGAGACCAAGGTCTTGGACATTTTTTACGGGGCAGATGTGGTGGTTGTTGACATGACCGTCATGGTGCAGCAGCGCACGCTGTTCTACCATCTCGGGGTGCGAGAAAGTTTTGGAATGGAACGCAACATTGTATTGTACTTTGATGACATAGATCCCGACACCTCCTCGTCATTAGGTGTAAGTATAGAATGAAAATTTTTTTCAACCACTTATTTTTCTTTTCTTAATGTTTCAGTAGACCTAACCTTCCTTTTGCTTTAACCGTCAAAATCATTCAAAAATTCCTTCCACTTCCCCTGTGCAGTACATAGACATATCACATGTCACTTGGCTGATTTTGACTGATACGACAACTTTGTTGAGAATGCATCTTTGCATAGGATTAAATTCTCACAAGTATTGAACCTATGGAAGTAGGCCCGGCCCAGGCCTACATGAATTGGGCCTGTGCATTTCAAGTTTTAGAAAGCCTGACTTTTTAAAAGTGTAGGCAAACGTTACTCAGCAAATAAGTTTGTCATACACAATTTGAAACTTTTACCATACTTTGGTATTATTTCAGTGAAAAACTTTTACTTTATTTGCTTCAGGCCCTTAATACTACTTACTTAGATAATTGGAAGTCAGGTCAGACAATTTGTACAAACAGAGCTTAAGTTCTCAATAATTAAGTTTGCCAAAATTTCTAGTTAGGTGAACAAAACTTATGGCTTAGCTTTTTTTAGTATACTTGTACATGTAGTTCAGTCTGTCAAGTGCTTGTCCAGTGCTTGTGTAAATGAACTTTTAATTTTGAAATTTTGGAAGCTTATTGGCCAGGCATTTATAAATTCAGTTTGACTTGTTTGACAGAACTAAGGGTTTTTTTTTAGCTGCTCTGTCCAGGTGAAATTAGAAAATCTGTTTCAGCCATCATACTCTCAAATTAATTGGAACATTTTTTGTCCAGGTGAAAATTTTACCACATGTTGAATATTTGATGACTAATTAATTGGATCTCTGTTCTTTACCTGTTCCAACATCTCAGCAATCCTGCCATAGCTCTGGATATGTCTTTGTGCCATACAAGATCAACAATGGAGATTGTTATGTCTGTGACATGGCCTGTGTGCGCCCCAACACTGGTGCTGGTGCTGCTCCCAAAGGAGGCGCTGACCTTCCGGTACAGGATCCTTCACTGCTCCAGCAGCTCTGTCCACCCCTGACAGAACGTCTGCAAAAGATCTTGGAAGAAGTACACATATCCAACAGGTAAATGTAACGAGACCATACCATCAAATTAGAGGAACGGGACTGGTACATTGCCGTGTGGCATTGTTCACAAGAGCTCAGGAGTGACTCAGAGCATTCACGCCTGGTTCATGGACATGATTGGCACTGATAGCACATGACCATATTTTCAGCTGAATGAGCACAAATATAGCGTGCATTCACATGAGAGGAATGTATCTCAATGTGGCATATGACTCTGTTGCACAAAAGTATCCAACACTTATATGTACAGTGGATCAACCCATAAAGCCTTAAGAATTACATTTAGATTTATGCAGATATAATCAATTATAACTGAATAAAACTCAGAGGAACTAACCTTTCAGTGCTTTTTCACCAAATCACCCAAGTTTTGCGAGCCATAATGAAGTGGATTCTTTGTTGTTTGTTTAATCTTGAGTGTTTTGGGTTGTTAATTTCTTCAGGAGTAATGCTCGAGAGGTTCTGTTGAGTGACATACGCAAGGCTCGTAGCAAGTACAAAGGAGCTGAGCTGGGGAAGGTGAGAAGATTTTTAATAAATTTGTCAGATCTTAAGCCCAGGATACACTCTGAAGGCTTTGTTCAGGTCTAAAGTGCATTGACTCCAGTGGCCCTTGATCAGCACAAAATTCAGCACCTGGAAACGCATCATTGTTGTAAATTTAGAACCGTAGAATCACAGTTAATTTATGTTGGTTTTTGTGGCCCATTATGCCATAGTCAATGTTGTAAAGGTCACAGATCTTTTCAGTGGTTTAATGACTTGTTAGATATGAGTTGATTCAAGAAACCTCATCGTAATAATATTAGAGGAGTTTTCAGGCATCTTGACAAAGTGCATTTAGACACATTCAATAACTTTTTTTCATTTTGTACATGAATAAATGTAATTTTATTACAAGTAGTTTGCTGTGTGGGTACATTGTTTCCAAATCTGACCAAAACGCAGCTTTATAAGGAGGAGCCACACCCACTTTTCCATATACATGTATGCAAAGCCACTCGTGTGAATCTCTGAGTTGACCATTTACCAATCTCTCTAATGTAGTAATGTCCACTGTCCTAGTAAACAGTTGTCTTGACCAGGATCAGTTACGTATCAAAGGAATAATTCACAAATTATTGTTTTGTTTTGTTTTGTTTATTTGCTTGTTTTGCTTAAGTGCAAAGAAGGCACCTCTGGTTCCTGCACTGTGGAGGTTTTCCGAGAGTTAAAAATAGTTCCCAGCAAAGAAAAATCCCCAAGAGTTTGGCTCTGTATAATAGATGAAATAAGATGAAATAGATGAAAAAAACTGAATTGATATCAACTTGTTTCTGTGAGAAGTGTAATGTCTTATCTTTATGCATAGAACATTTGAAAAAATGGCTCCCTTCAAACTCCTTTAACCCCTTTATAAAGTCAACTTTGTTACATGTTCATTGATTTATCCTCCCCAGAAACATCGCATTTTAATTTTTATGGAGCTCAAGTGCATTTTCAAATGTACATGTAGCAAGGAATTTATGCAATCCTGGATGAAACATATTTTGGCCCGTGTCAAATGTGAGAATAATCAGAAGTAGATAGGGTTTTCTGAGCACTTGATACAGTATCTCCTTCCCTGGTTTGATTTTAAACACCTGGTAGTTCTGATTTGATTTCAACCAAATGGCCCAGCAGTTGAAATCCTTTCTCTCCTGAGTGTTGGGAGATATGATGAGATACATGTATACCTGTATAGAGTATTAGTCACGCTCGATGAGTAATGAGGTTGCTACAACTGGAATACTTACTCATTATAATATGGATCGTTGCCAGCATAAAGTGAACTTGGCAAAATGAAGAAATTTGATGCCAAAGGTTCTGACATTAAACCTGGGCATTGGCTTTTTTTTCTCAGTAAATGTCAGTCATTTTCCCAGCAAATGACTAACAGTCTTCTGCGAAAGATTATTCCCTAGCTGCATTCAGGGTAGTGTCATAGTAACATGTAATGCCGATTCATGTGTATGTACAAGTTTCCACATGGAATAATTATTCACAGTGTGAATTAGATTTGCAATTTGTCTTCTAACTATCTCACCTGCAAATGGCGAATGATTTTCATTTCACTTTTGAATGAAAAATAATACGTGCACCGGTCATTTTTGGTGGAGTTCTGGATATCTACATGTACATGTAGGTATTTGTCATAACCTTATCATCCACATGTACATGTGCATGTATCTGAAATGGGCATACACGTACAGTGGATACTTGTTTGAGGGTTCACCGGGTTGCATAAATCCCATTATCAAAATAATCAAGTACCAGCAATTAATGAATGTACATGTAGTGATAATAGGGGTCATAGTTTAATGGCTACGTGTACATTGCCGAAGAAGGATTTTTGTTCAGAGGTTCTGTGTAAAACAGGAGAATAATTATAAAAGATGCACTTGCTTACTAGGTTGGTTATTACAAATGTAGTTGTTTGTTGGTCACATTGTTGGTTTGTGGTTGTTTCGCTGGCTGTGGTTTTTGCTTGGTTGCTTTTGTATTAGTAGATTCTGTTTGTTCGTCGCTCTGTTCATATGTTTTTGTGAGGTGATTTTCAATAGGTCATATTTGTTTTGTTAATATGGTCATTATTTCCGCAATCATGTTTGTTGGTTTGTTGGGTTGTAAATTTGCCTTGTTTGCTGGTAGTATAAGTACACTGTCGTCGTGTAAATTTGTGGATGGGTCATGTTTGTTTTTTTGGTATGTTTTGGTTTGGTTTAAGAATTTTTGCATTTGACACAAAACGCAGTACATTTGACCAGTCATGTAACTTTGCTGCACCTGTTCCAGCAGCAAAAAGATGTTTTGTGCTTGTGACTAGGCATGCAGGTTATAATTGGAATGAAACAGTAGAGCAATTGCTGTTCTTACAAAGTTGTTAGTCCCTTAAGCAGTCACCTATGGACGGAACAAATTTACCTGTCAGTTTTGACATTAAAATGAACTTTGATTTTTATTTCAAAACAGAAATCACTGTCTGGTCTCAATCCAGTTACTGTCCCTACGCTGATACACATGAAGAACAGGTTGTGGAGATTGAGATTTGGCAGAAATGTTAAAAATTATGAGGGAAAAACTGCCAGCATGACAGTCACTTACTGGCTCTCCGTGCTGTGATTTGTACCATTTACACAAGTTTACACAAATTTGAAACGACAGTATTAAATCCTTGTTAATGTACTTGAATAAAAATGTCAACAGGTGTACACAGGTGAATGATGAATCATACACCTGTGCACTTTCACACATTGGATCACTTGACCTGTATTGTCACAATGAAGACAGTAACTAGGAAACCTTAAGAATCTGCCCATAGGAAACAGGATGTAACCTTTACCAATAGTTGAGTGGGTTTTCAGGTAACATGATTTTATGTGCACCTGTAACAACCCAAAGGGAAATAACTGCTAGAAGTTACATGTAAATCATGTGCAAATCTCCAACAGTACATGCACATGAACTTGCAACTACATGTACACGTATAGTAAACATGATATGGATGCATGTACATGTGGGGCAACGTGCGTTAGCATCTAATGTACATGTACTTTTATAACTTACTGCTGACCATGAAGGGGCGAGTTGAGTAGATAATAACTTCACTAACAAATGAGAGAAGGGGTGTCAAGTTTTGCTTAAAATGTCAAAATTGGGTCTCCAACTTTGGAGACTCTTGAAAGTTCTCACTGCTGTTCTTGAAACTTATTTAAATTTTTTGACAAATACGTATGTGCCATAACACTGATGTTAAAATTCACAAGTTTTTCTGGCTGGATCAACTGAAATATCACCCAAATTTTTGGAGGTTAATTTGCACAGATTTTGACTTACACTTATGATTTTGTTGGCTCCTGTCAGGCATCAAGACTATTGTGAAAACACAACACCTATTGATCTATATTTCTTCCAAGCATGTCGAATGCCCCCAACCTGATTGCCTTGGCTGCTTGGGTCCTAATGGTACAATGTAAATGTACATGTAGGCCTTTTCCTGTGAGTGTTCACCATACCACTATTCCTGGTATTTTTTCAATTTACCTGGATGCATGTACCAACATACATGTACATTGTAATACATTGTATAAAGCTTTGTGTACATTGTATGAAAAGAAAAGGATTTTATGTTTCACTGGGTAAAGAGCATAGCTTTGTCAACAAATCCTGCACACAGTAATTGTTCAATGTTGTTACTGGTCATGCCCCATATTTTCATGGCTAGTCACATGCATCAATGTACATGTAGGTATATGTACATGTATATTTGAGATGCGTGCACACAGTATAGTGTTGTAGTTGGCAGTGTGTCCTTACAGGTGTGTTTTTTTCTGAAAATGAAAACAGTTTCATTAATTGATAAAGTGATAAAGAAAAACATTATAAAAATACACTATACAACTGTGACCAATTAGGATATAACTTCATTGAAAATGATATTGTAATTCAGTCAACAAGATGCACTGAATGCATTGGCCACTTTGAACATCTTGGTCATTTTCTCTGTTTGAATGTCAGGATCTAAAGACCTGTTGGCAGATTACTTGGCATGTAAACATATTGATCCACAGGTATTATTCAGCTGCTCAGTTGATGTGTCCATAATAAATAATTCATTTTTAACAGATTGAAAAAAAAAACACATTGCTTGTTTCTTCATTGTGATGGAAAAATTCTGTTCAATTCATCAAAACTGTTAATTAAGGAAAGGAAATGGTTAATCAATTCTACAAATTTACTGGTTACATTAGATATAAATAAAATGATGAAATTTTCCTACATTGTACATGTACAACCCTTGTTGTCTCAGGAGTTGGCAGCATTGAAGTCACGCATGGATGAACAGCTTCTGTTGACAGGTGACATCGTCCATCAATTCCTTCTGTCCTATCGTGAGATCCAGGTACGCAAACTAAATTGATGTTTTTTCCGGAGAAATGCTGTCTTGTACAGGTTTTTAATTTTTACGTTTCCTGAGGATTTGTCTGAGATGAGCAAAGGTCACACTCGTGGAAAGCAACCACTTTTTAAACTTTGTCTGGTTTACCTTGAAAAAAGGCTTGTCTCATAGTATTCTCGTGGGAAAATGCTCATCAGTTGTAATATTGGTGAGGTGTGATCATTTTATGCTGTGCACACTGAATGCTCATTGCTTCATTGAAAAAAATCACAAAACAACCTGGCTGGGAGTTAACCCCCCCTTAAAAACTGCAAATATTCTGACTCTTGTCCCCTTAAAACTGAATTCTGTCTGATAAACTTGGGGACAGGAGATTCTGGATGTTGCTGTAGGATGATTTATCTCAACTCCTTGATAAATTGAACCCCCTGAAATGATTGCAATGATGACACGGCCCAGTACCTTTGCCTTCTGTTGGAATCAAGCCAGGGAGCAAACATAATTGAAATGGACACCTCTAGTCTCCGGGCAACAAATTAACAAATTTGTAATTCCTCACTGCCTCCATTCAGTTGTCACCACCCCCCCCTCCCCGGAGGAAAAACTGAACAACATGACGCCGTTTTAATTGCAACTGACACCAGCAGAGCATACTGGTGTGGACACACTTGTACATATGAGGGGATTTCAGTCCACAGTTGGTCGTTGCAGTCGGTCATTGATCCTTTTGAAGTTTGAAACCTGTACATTGTATATCACCTCAAGAACTAACCATTGATCAGATAGAGTGAAGATAAACCATTAACTAAGTCAACTTTTTCATTCCTAAAAATTCCACGTTTGTTGTCTCGACATTTCATTTACAACCGTTTCCTTCCTTCTCTCCTTGATTTCCCTCGATAGGATTACAATTCAATGGTTGCCCTCGTTGAAGACATCAAAGAACTGGCCAATGACAACGTCACAGAGAAGGCCGCCATTACGCATCTCTATGCCTTTGCTCTCAACCGGTAAGCCCCCCTCCCCCAAAACCCAGTCTTTACTTATACAAGGTTTTAAGGTCTTAAACAAAACCATTAACTTCAAAACCCTTCACACGATGCAGAGCTTTTAAAATGAGGAACTATAGCAGTACTACCTTCTTTATTTCCTGAAGGTACATGTGCATTATATTAATTGATAGAGTACTCATTGATGTGGATACAAGATAATTGGTCGCAATATGGGCGATTTTACAATAGTACGCCTTCAAGAGTTTACAAGGTGCAAAATCTGTCGACCTTTTCCAGATGCGTATTGGATAGATTTCACGCACTGTGATTGGTCAGCACTTTGCAAACTCTTGGATGTGCACGATTGTGAAACGCCTGTATTCTGTCATATATTGCATCTTTCATCAGTAGTGACCTTCATATAGGACAATTGCTCTTCAAGCATGAAACTAACTAAAGTCTAAATGTGAGAATAAAATCTACCAAGTGGTACAGCCTCAAACATTGCAGGAAACAAGAGCAGCCCAACTTGTTGATTGGATATAGCTATGGACAGGACTACTTTGATTGCCTTGTACACTTTAAACATGTGCCCACTTTCTTTTTTCATTTTCTGGTTTGACAGACGGAAGAAGCCTGGTGACAGAGAGAAAGCCCTGAAAGTCATCTGTTATGTAAGACAAGTCATCAACACTTCAGTCATTGTCTCATGCTAAATCCAGCCATGCTATCACTATACCATACAAAGATGGCTTCTCGTTAAAGCAATTAAACAGTTGAGGCTTTGGTCTAGAGTAGCAATGTGCAGTTTTCATTGGTGCGTTGGATCCTATTCACCCAGACATACATGTCAAAGGTTATTACATAATATTCATCTGATTGTTAAACTTTTTTCTTCTATTTCTACCAAATCATGTCAATTACACATCCATCTCAATGTCTTTCCCATTTGCTTTTCCCAGCAACATTGATTGATACTGTCTCTTACGAAGGTATTGTTGGTTTATCTCTTCCTTTGGTTCAACCTCTTTTTTTCAGGCACTGAAGAAGAAGGAGAACCAGGTTCCTGACATGTTTTGCCTGTGCGGCCGCATTTACAAGGACAGATACACAGAGAGTAATTACGAAGACAACGAAAGCAGGGATCAGGCCATACACTGGTCAGTACCAAGATCCTTTATATAAAGGCTTTGATGACAGAATCCTTCAAAGTTTCTTTCAATGCATCAGGTCTCTATGAGTGATTGGTCATTACCAATGCGTAAGTAATATAAATTGTTATCCAATAGCTTACACAGTTCAATAGTATCAACAAAACCAAAAACATATGTTTCCTCTTTTTTGGCATGGTGTCATGGAGAACACAAAAATTGAATTTTGAAAAAAAAATTAAATCTCGCATGATGTGCCATCTGAAACACAATGACACCATTTGAAAATTGTAAAAGCTGCAGAAATATTCACCAATTGTACATTTTTGTCTTTGTCATCATTCAGGTATCGAAAGGGCTTTGAGGTTCAGCCCAATGAGTATGCAGGTATCAACCTGGCGACACTCCTCGTTTTGTCAGGAAAAGAATTCAGCAAATCCGCAGAACTGCAGAAAATTGGTGAGACAAATCGTCTCAAACTCTAAACCAAACGCAGAAATAGACATCAGTCCAAAATTATTCACAAAATTGCCATAATGCCTCACCTATGTCCAGCATTTGTAACTATTAATTTTTCTGATCCGTAGGGATGACACTGAACAACTTGCTAGGTAAGAAGGGTAGCCTGGCCTCCTTACAAGATTACTGGGACGTAGCCACCTTCTTTGAGATCAGCGTGCTTGCCGGGGATTTGGGCAAAGCTTGCCAGGCTGCTGAATGCATGTTCAAGCTGAAACCGCCCATTTGGTGAGAGCTTCTGTCTGTCTGCACTCAGCGAAATGAACAAACTTCAGAATTTTACTGACATGGTTTAAGAACTCAGAACATTTACAGTGTTCCACAGGGATGGAGTGCATAAGCTTTCTACTTTACTGGTATGGTTTAAGAACTCACAAAGCTCACAGTGTTCCATAGGAAATGCATCATCCAGATGTATTCCCATCTGGAAGACGTTGTGTTTCTTGCTGGGCATAGACACGGAATGTCAAGGTTCTTGATGAGGTCTTGAAATCAAATCAATATTACAATACTTGTCTGCTACTCCAGTAGCTATTAATAGGTACTGAAAATAGAACATGAATTCTTGGGCTTGTAGATGTTACCAGTCGTGGCTCAGATGTAACCCTAAGCATTAATGAATTAAGACATGAAGAGTATTAAGTACATGTGTTTTCATCATTGGTTTTTTAGCTCATTTCAGATGCCTCTTAATACTTATGTTAACGCAGGTATCTGAAATCGACGCTTGGAAATATCAAGATGATCAACAAGGTGCGTCTGGCAGCAGGTGACGGCAATCCAACCAGAGACCAAATGGTAAGTCATGAAAGAAACCAAGGCCAAAAGGGTAAGATTGTTCCACCAGTTAACGTTCTGATTTATTTATTTATAAATTTATGATTATTTTTCCTTCGACAGCTCTTTGACTTTTGGCTGGATTTCTTCGTGGAGGCAACTAAAGACAACACCACTGACGTCCGGTTCCCAGTAAGTCCAACCTTTTCTCAGAAACACCCCCCCCTCCCCTTCAGCTTCCTTCTATCCAAAACAAAAAAAAAACGTTCCAGTATCTCAGTTTGAGACTGTTAGTTTTGGATAAATAATGGAAGGTTATTGTTGTTTTTTTCACCAATGTTGCCGTAGGTCCTTGTGTTGGAGCCTACCAAGGTGATGAATCCAAGCTATATTACCATCAACAACGATGAACAGGACTCTGAACAGAGGGTATAGCAATCATTTTGTCTCTTTTATAAACTAATCACCAGAATGCCGTCGAGTGTTCTTGAACTGGCAATGCAGTAACACCCCGTTTGTGAAGCAGTTTGCCTTTTACCGTCGAACCTCGTTACTTAGAGCACAATTACTACAACATTCTGCTTGTAACCAAGGTTCCAATCCTTTGTTCTTCGTTGTTTTCATTCCTGATAATACAAGGTTCCTGTAATAACAAGGTGGGTCCAAGGACCTCTTATTAACGGGGTTTGACTGTATTTATTGAAAATAATATTTTTAAAATAGTCTTTGAGAAGAGACAAGCAGTGTCTCTTGTTATGTACTCTCCCTTGTCCTAGGTCTTAACATCAATGTCACTCACATCCCAGTTTTGAATTGAGTGGAGATGAAGAAGAAGGGAAAGCCAGTGTCCTTGTTTGGATAAGAGAGATGAGATATTCAGAGGAAGGCAGCGCAGTCAAATTAGGCCTGACAAGCCCCAATCCTTAGTGGGGACAGTGGGGATTTGAACCTGGGTCAGAAAGAGTTGGAAGGTTTTTAAAGTGTCGTAGCACTAAACCTGTTGCCCGGCTGAGAGAGGATGAATGACCATGAGAAATGTTACATCAAGTCAAGGCTGAACTTGTCTCATTCTGTTTCAGTCACTGAGACTGTGGCACGTTGGCGTAGCCGCTGGCTGCAAGGTAGGATGTTTTGTTGACATTTGAAACTCGCTTCTTACCACACCTTTGAGAACACCTTAGGTCTGAGCAGCTCGCTGACTGAATGGGAACTGAAAAGAGGTTTTACGTGGTGGCCATCTTGCAGGGCAGTGCTTTTGTTGATCAGGGAAACCTCCTTTGTGCATACCTTATTGAACAGAGCCACTGGCCTGCAAGATGGCAGCCATGGAAACCCTCAATTTAGCACGAATAAATAGAATAGCTTAGGCTAATCCACTGACTTGGTAGTAGTTATAAGAAAATGGCTAGCTTCAATGCTTCCTGATAAAAAAAGTAAAGTTGCTCTTATATTCAATCTGCCTTCCTTTCTCAGGGAATCCATGAGTGGTTATTCAAAGCTCAATCAATCAAAGGCGTCAGGTGAGTCTTTGAAATACCTCACAATTACAATCAATTAAGCAAATGCTCATTTGGTCTCGTAAATCAGTTGGTTATTGTGTCAGTTTTTCTAGGCATTGCCTTCCATGTTTGTCTTTGTACCATCCTTTTCCAAACACAGCCTGTATAAGCGAGATGACCGCTGCCTGTTCCTGTATGTCCAGCAGAACTCGGACGACTTCCAACTTTTCTTCTCCTCGGACCAGCAGAGACAACAGTGAGTAGTTTGTAATTAGATGGGAATCAAATCTGGCACACTGAGTTCTTTAGATTCACATGAATATAACAATTTGAATTCTCCATACCAAAGACACTGTTACTATACCTCGTGATTTGGGGCAAGCTGTTGCTTAGTTACATAAGAGACGTCTTGCACCAATACACTGTTCTCAATGGATAAGAAGGGCACAAAGGAACCAGTCCATTCCAGAGACGGTGGTCGCTATGCAAAAGCTTGCCCCCAATCACAAGGTATAGCAACAGCGTCTGTAGTCTGGGGAATTGTTATGTTTATGTGCAATCAGATAACTCAGTGTGTCACATTTTATTCAAATTTAATTCACAAAAGGCTTATTATTAAATTGTTGGCTACTGTCACAGAAATAATCATTGTATAAAGGTCAGTGGAACAGGTATTGGTTCTCCAGAGCAAATGGAGAGAGAATTGTGTTGTCCTATTCGTAAGAGCCAAGTGATGGAACATATTGGACATGTTGTGCTTTTTTCTTTTCAGTTTTTATGAGCTGGCCAAAGAGATCATCGCCGCTGCCAACGATGTGTTTGTGGGCGAAGTGGATTCAGATCTCTCCAGTGAACCTATCCAGGTAAGACGTCATAAACAAGACCTATAGATGCACTTGAAAACGAAGGATACATTTTATTTGATTCCATGCAAGTAATTTGCTTGCTCCATTTGTGGTGAAACATTCATATATTCAGCTCTGGGTAAGAGTTCCATCACTCATTTTCCCTTGCAGTGGTTTATAAGCCATCCGAAAGTGATAACATGCCCCCAAAAGTCAAACTTAGCTGTGAAAATATTGACTCATTAATACTTAGAAAACACTTAAAACTTTTCAGACTCTGCTCGTAGCAGTTTGTGCACAGGGGCATCAAGTGATGTCCTTATATGGAACTTTTCCCAATTTTGTATTTGTATGCTGCAGTTCAGTTCAGTATGGTTTACAAATTGCAAGTTAAAATAACAGTTAATGGAAAATGTCTATTTCAGTATGGCACTGATTTCTTTCAGTTTGAATACGAATTCAACGAGAAGGGAGAGAGGATGTTATTAGGACGAGGCACATACGGCGCCGTCTACGCAGCTAGGGATACTAGGACACAGGTCCGTATGGCTGTCAAGGAGATCCCTATCAGGGATATGAGGTGGGTTCGAATCCAGCCTGATGCCTTTTGTCCTTGAGCAAGACAGTTTGTAGCATTCCTTACCTTTTGTCCTATGCCCTATGTTGAGTAAATAGGTACTAATTTAGGCAGAGATGGTCATTATGTATGATTGGGGAGTATCTCCTTTGGTGGGTTATAATCCATCTGAAGGATCTTAGTGCTCAGGTCCATCAGCAAGACAGTTTGCTGTGACAGCTTCTTGTCAACCATTAAAGTCAACCTTTACATCTCAAAAGTTGTGAGAATTTAGATTGTCTTGTCAGTTATCCTCATTGCTGATAATCCTTGTCTCCACTCCAGAGAGGTTCAGCCATTACACGAGGAGATTCTCCTGCACTCCCGCCTCAGTCACAAGAACATCGTCAAGTACCTGGGCTCACAGAACTGTGATGGTTTCTTCCGTATATTCATGGAGCAGGTCCCTGGGGGTGAGACCAACAAGAAAATTCACAAATTTCTGAGCATTCTCTCAAATTTGTTTGATGAATTATTTTGAATTGATTCAGTTTTAGAAAGATGATGCATTTGACCAGAGTTGACAGGCTTCTGATGTGAAGTTCTTGACAGAATATGGAATTTCTGTTCGTCCATAAACAAGACAGAAGCACCTGTTAGTGTGTTAGTCAGCTTTCTTGTCATTGACAAATCTTGCAGGGAGTCTGTCTGCTCTGCTGAGGTCCAAGTGGGGTCCGTTGAAAGACCATGAGGAGACCATGTCATTCTACACTCGGCAGATCCTGGAAGGACTCAAGTATTTGGTAAGTAAACAAGAAGTTTTCGCTCTGAACATCTGAGGGTCCCAGGGTTACTTTACTTGAAGCTGAATGCTCTTATTGTGAAAAAATTCAAAGAAAGTCCAGTAATTCATACTGCCTTGTTAGAATTGTGAGGATTTTGGAAGCTCCCTGGCCTTGTTAGTCTTGTTATAATTGTCTTTTGATCTTCACAGCATGACCAGAAGATTGTCCACCGTGACATTAAAGGTGACAATGTCTTGGTGAACACTTACAGTGGGGTTGTCAAAATCTCTGACTTCGGCACCTCCAAGAGACTGGCTGGTATCAACCCGTGTGCTGACTCATTTAAAGGTGAGGGGAACCAGTGATGGAGTATAAGCAGGGGCCCTGGGACACTTGCACAGTGAGAAGCTTACCAGTTGTCTCAGTAGTGAGCATGGAAACCAGCTTAACTCAACCAATATCCCCTAGCACAGGTACCATGGAAATAGGGAAGGGTACCAACTGGTTCACATGATAACTTTGACCAACCAGAGGAAGGAATCCTGTGAACAATGTCAATGGGATGGGTTAGGGTACCGGTGTGAGTCACTCATTTGCTTTCAAACAAACAGATTGGACATTAACAAGTTAAAGATGGAGTTTAGTTTAACTGCGATCTCGTTCTCTTAAACTATTCCAATTTCACAGGTACCCTACAGTACATGGCTCCTGAGGTCATTGATAAGGGAATCCGAGGACATGGTGCAGCTGTAAGTACCAGTTAGATTAAAGTGATTGTGCTCAAAAGGAATTTACATCTTGAAATGTTGCCAGCTCTTGATGTTCCCTCCTTTCTTTCCTTAAACTGTAGGCAGACATCTGGTCTCTTGGTTGTACAGTAGTTGAGATGGCAACTGGAAAACCACCTTTCATTGAGGTAAATCTGTGGAATCATTTCAAGAATTCGACACTTAAAATGCATCGAAATCAATTTGTTATAAAAATATTCCACTGTGTACCTACAAACCTACTTCCCTGCAGGTTGTAACATCGATTAAAGTCTTCTACTTTTGGCGTTTCTGTTTTGTTTGGTCCAGCTTGGCTCTCCAGAGGCAGCCATGTTCAAAGTAGGCTTTTACAAAATCCATCCAGAAGTACCAGCCTCTATGTCTGACCTGGCCAGGAAGTTCATCCTCAGGTGAGTCTGTCATCATCAACTTGGCTAACTGGTATGATGGAGTCCAGAAACTAGGGCAAGATTGCCAGACACTGAGACACGTGATCGTCAGTTCAGAATGCTTCCAAGATTGGCACCCAAGACAACTGAAGCTTGGTGAAGCTGTTCTTACCATGACTTATTCACACCTATGGCCCGGGTTTGAATCCCATCAAGGCCCATAAAAAGGTTGGATATCTGTTTATCAGAAATGCCCCGTTGACTATTTTGATGACAGATGTTTTGAGCCAGACGCAGAGAAGCGAGCCACAGCTGCTGAGCTCCTGATCGACCCATTCCTGAAGAGACGGCGGATAACTGGCCGCAACGCTGCTGCCGATTATAAACATGACCGCAGCATATCAGGTCAGTAATAGCCCATGGAAATTACCTTTCAACTTATCATGACTTCTGTACAAGAATTTATGTTGACCTTTCATACCAACTTATCGTTCACTTGTTTCAAGCTTGCTCTTTGTATGTTTACTTTTACATCACACATTCACATCGGAATGGACACAGAAGCGTCACATCATCCCTCGGTTTTCTATTTTCTTCTCTGAACTTCTCATATTTAGGAGCAGTCAGTATTTCATTTTTTCCAGACACTTTGGGAATTGAATGAGCAGTTAAAATAGGATCTACTTGAAAGGAGGACTATCCAGAAACCCTTTTCTCCCAAAACTTGATAATTTAACTTTCTGGCACTGACTTGCACAATGTGACTGAAAGCTTGTTGGAATGAGTCCAGTGTGTCCTGTACTGCCTTTCCCCTAACTCCAATACACGGCCTCAGAAAGCCACAAGAGGCCCTCTATAGTTCTTGCTCAGAGCCATTAAGGGGGCTTCATAAGAAACAGAGCTTGTAGCAAGTTGTCATTATCACGGTGATAGCATGGGAATAGTATGGGATTTGAAGAAGCACCTGCTGTAATCTATCAATGTTTCCTGATTCTCTTTGTTTCCGCCTGGTCATGTGAATCATGCAGAACCTAGCAACGCCTTTAAACTCGATCCTGGTAAGCCTTGCGAACAATTCTCAACCAAAGCAGCTTTTTGGAGACAAACGCACTGTGATGGTAGCTTGTTCTTGTTTCGTTTTGCATTTCCCGGGAATTTCCACGATACTTTCAGCCTGTGCCCGTGAATAAGATGCTGCAGTTGCAAAATTCCAAAGCGTCTTTGTTTTTCTTTTTTTTTTGTTTGCTTGGTGGAATGATTTTTATCGTAGATTCATTTTGTTGGTTTTTTAAGTGTTGAGCTGAATATGGCACCCAAAAATGTATTTCCTTTCTTTTTTTTTTGTTTTTGTTTTTAGTATGTCGCCCTTTTGTGTCTTTTAAGAATAGTAAGACTCTGTGTTGGTTTTGTGCTTAGGAATGGGCATGTGCATGTGGTACCAGATTTCCTATCTCTGTTTGCAAGGATATTCCTGTCATAGGTTATTTATAAGCTGCAGCCATGTAGTCCTGTTCTACCAATCTTGGCGGAAAATTTGGCCAAATACATTTATTTTGCAAACAAATTGTAATTGCCATGCAAGAAAAGGTATTTTGCAAATCAGATGTCACAAAAGATATCTGAGATCATATTAATTATTAACCTTCTTTTGTTACTTCAAAACATTGCTTTTCTGTGTCTTTTTTTTTCAAAAACTACCCTTGACGTTCTTTTTATTAGAAAATCTATCCAGTAATTTTGGTATATTGCAACCTTTTTTGTGTCAATTCCTTTCAGTACCAGCCCTGAAGTATCGCTCCAACAGCCGACCAGAGTCTCCTGTGCTTGGCACCCATTCAGAATCAGCAACTACCATGCCCATGGACTTTGACGTCAAGTAAGTGCAGTGGGTAATTTTAGGCTGTGGCCATCTTGGACATGTCTCCTGGGGTTCTTGATACAGACTTGCCATGATCAAAATGGCACCAGACCGTTTTGGCTCAGCAGGAGTCTCAGATTTTGTTTGCTGATGATTTTGACTAACTAGTTTCTTTTAAACACAAAACATCTCTTGCCGCATGTTTATTTCCCTTCATGCATGAGCATTTCCTGATCAAATTTGTCAAAACTTTCTTGCCTGCTGTCTAATGAAAAACACGGTCAAGACTGCAAAATAAGAGCAGATTTTGTGTACACACAGTACAATAAAAACGTGACTAATATGACTTCGCATACGATCACCTCAGCAGCAAGCTTTGAAATAAAGATGCAGTTATGACAGTTACTGTATTTGAGTTCAAGCACATTTGAGCTACTGACCTAGCTTTGCTGGTTTTGTAGAAGCATGCAATTTCTAATCAGCCAACCGACTGGAATTTTTTTTACGACAAATCAAAGAATGTTTAATAAATTGAGTTCGCTTATTTAATCAGAATACCTTAAAAAATGAAAACATTAGTAGTATATAATTGCAGCCATCTTTGTCAGGTTCCCCAAAGTAAACTATGGGATCACATGTAGTCAGTTGTAACAAATAAGGCACCAGACTATTTGAAATAGTTCACCTTACTCCAAGTTTAGCAGAGTTGAATTGAAAATAAATTAAGTTGGTCCTGTATTCAAGTTTTTGCAATCAAATGTGGCACAGGATTTTTGTTTTTTTTAGCTTTTTAACAGTGTTTTTTTTCTGTCATGGGCCTGGTTGCTTGCTTTTATTGCATGATGGTCACTTCTGATATTTGTTTAATCTCAGATCGAAACGTCGGTCGGTGGACATGGTATCACCAGGGTATGTGTTTGGATCGTTTCTGTTACACAGCACCGCATTCATCATATTTAATCACCGTGTTTGCCAGTTCCATCTGCCATCACCAAATAACAATATCTAATCCCTGCTGCTGCTTTTTTTTTCTTACAGCTCTAGAGTAATACTTGTGAAGTTTGAATCATTTATTAAACTTGTGAACGTCTTTTGTTTGGTGCTAGAAAGTTGGTGGTTGAGCAAAATAAATCAGTGGGCTCTGACAATTCAGTGGGCACAAAATGGAATCTTCATTAACAGTCAACCTGAAAAGCCATTTCTTGCAGATTGGTAGCAAAGCAGTGGATGCAGACCTCATAGCATGCCAGGGGAATTTAGCTGAACCCTGTGCTGAATAGGAAGTGCTGCAGTGTTCTTATATTTCATTCCATTTTCATCCTGATGTAATTGGGCCTTCCAGTTGGCACTCCGTGTCATTTTATCATTGAGGGACTCCATATAACGTTGTGTCAGTGCTAAAAGGTCCTTACAGAATAATTGCACTGAAAGGTCTTTATTGAAAAATATTGTCATGAACTTGAAATTGAGAAAAAATTGTTACAATTTAAATATATTGGCCCAAAAATTAATATAAAAATGAAAGTGAAACAAATGTAGTCTGTTTCAATACAAGATTTCTTTCATGCTCAGAGCAAGGCCCCAAGAGTACTTTCAAAAATTATGTTTTTGCTGTAATGACCTTCTAACCCTGAGCCGACGATAATGCATATGAAAATTGTTTTAACGACACCCAGAGTTTTGTAAACCCTGATGGTAGTTTGTGATGTTTGTTTGCATGATACTTGTCTCCTCCTTCCCCTAGATCCCAAAGAAACTCCCTGGAAGTGCCTAGTATGTCAGGTGTAGATGGGTAGGTCATTGTTATGATTGGCTTGCCTGATTGTATGCTGTGATCTGATTGCTTGTTAGATTAGTTACAATGAGGTGATTGGTGGATTAGTTTCTGTTTCTGTTTGTAGCTTCATTCTGATTGGACCATATGTAAATTCCTGTTGCTGGCTCATCTATTGATTGGTCGACGCAAATTTTGCAATGTTTAGATTGGTTTGCCTTATATTTTCTGTGTTTAAGTTGTGAAAAGTCCCACTACCCTGTGTTGCAGGATTTTTCGTTGTAAGAATATTTTCACATTTAAATTCTAACCAATTTTCTGTATCTTCTTAGTTGTCTTATTAAATAAAAACGGACTGACAAGTTTGTGCAATGCACAACAATAACTTGCCTAACTTTTACATCTACTTAGTGGAGTTGAATGTTCTAGTAATCATTCACATATTTTTGTAAATTGCAACCTCACCTTGTGAGTAACCATTTTGCACCATCCCCATGATTCTGTCGCACATTTTTTTTTCCATTTTATAGCCTCACACTAACTTACTTAGAGAAGTAGACCTTGAAAACACATGAACAAAAAACTGGGATTGTGTTGAAACATCTTTGAATCATAACTTTGCCAACTTTCTCAAAATTCAACATGAGGTTTTGCAGTACTGTTGTGATTCAAGACCACACAGATCTGCCACAGAGTTACCTTGGTGTCTCGGTTTGATGGAGAATTTAACGAATGTGCCGTCACCTCACTGCAAAGCATTGGATCTTGGAATCAGGAGGACTCTGGAAGCTTCCGTGAGCAAAAGTGACCTTTCCTCTCTTACCTCGCACAGGTCCAGTGAGGAGAGTACCGCTGAGACTCCTACAACCCCTGACCGGGGCAGAGGTCATGGGTTCTACATGCTGAGGAAGGACAGCGAGCGGCGGCAGACACTGCTGCAGATCCTAGAGTCAGAGCCAGACAAGATTGTACAGCGTTGGATGAGGAAACTGCACGCTGGTACCCCGCCTACCAAGATTACCACTGTAAGCTGCACACTGTATACATGTATATACAGAACGTCTGTTCTTTGTGAGAAATACTTCTTAGGCAACTTCCCTAAGATTTCTTCACCTGTTCTTTCTAGGTGCACCTTGGAATTCTCATGTCTGGCATGGCACAATACATAAAGACCAGGGAGAGGAAATTTGTCTTCGATGCAGTAGGTGAGCAAAATCCAAAAGCTTTACCCCTCCAAACAATGTGACGACCTGTTTGAGGTCAGAGGTCAGATCTGAAAGTCTGGCCAAGTTCAAATCAACTGGCTGTGGCTGGGTGTTACACACGTCTATAGGCAGTAGCCACAGCCGCTAGCCAGTGGCTTGCATAGACATCAGTCTCTGTAACTGAAAAAGTACAAAACTTCAAACTAACATTAAACATGTTATCATTTACAATTCTCACAATTCTGACAAAATTGCTTTGCTCAAATGTCACCAACACCAGCCCCTTCTTTCATTACCCTGGGAGACCTATCAAGAAATGGCATTACGTGGTGGCTTTCTCCCTGAAGTGGCAAACTTCTTTGTTTTCTCCAAACTCAATGAAAAAAAGCAACAACAAACACACTACCGAATGATGGGCGTTAACCAATATGCTTTGATTTATTTGTGTCACAGCTGAATTAAAGTTGGACTTGGACTATGATCACATTGCACTCGGTGAGATCCAGCTGGCTTTGTACACATTCCTTGATACGGTAAGACCTCGTTAAAAACAGATCAGTCTCAAAACTCATGTTTTTTTAGCCGATAAGCAAGCTTTATTTATCATACAATTTTATACATGTATGTTCCTTTTTGCATAGTTTGATTGTGATTGGATTTCAATGGATTTGGGACTTGAAAGCCCAAATCTTTGACTGTCCTGACATAACCGAGAGCTGGATATTCAAAACGTGGTCAAGTTCAAAGAATGTTCCATTTATTTACTGCTCTCTGTGAACTTAAGCAGAAGGAAGCTTGCTCGTAGTTATCTCTTGAAGTTACACTTCATTGCTTTCTTGCTTTTAATCTGTAGTACGGCTTCACTCGGTGATAAGTTGGTCATGTATTTCTGAGTCTTATTATTTTCCTTCCGATGTTTCTTGTACCCTTTCAGGTTGTGGATGTACTTAAGCAACACGTTAACAACATCAAACCACACTGGATGTTTGCTCTAGATAATCTCATCAGAGACAGCGTACAAACGGCTATTACAATACTTTCCCCTGGTGAGAGGACTGAATGTTTGTCTCTTTGTCTGTCTAGTTGTCTGCTTGCTTGTTTTCTCCTCACCTCTTACTCAAACAGAAGAATTCTCTTCAGTTAAACTCTTCTTCCTATGCAAAAGTGATATACTGGGTATCAAAAGTTGACTCAATGAGTGAGTTCCTGATGCTTGATACTTTTTTATCAATTTTTGTATTTGTAAACCTTTTCGTTATCGTCAAATTTATGTCCTTTACTGAACTATTGAAGAAAAAAAATTTTAATAGCAAATGTTCCCTAGCTAATTCATGGAGGAAGGCCGAGTGTTGATGATTGTAACCAACTTGACATCCTGTTATAATCACCTCGCCTGTCCTGATAAATCCATCCACGACCTTCTCAACTTCCTTTCCAACTTCCTCTTCTATCCGTGGTCTCCAATCAATTTGACCTATGCCCTTTTGGTAAGCGTATATGAACGGTCTCCCCATCAAGCCAGAGATAGCAGTACAGTATCTGTTACCTCTGTGTTTTGGTTTGGGGAACACAAAGCCACATGTTGAGTTGGACCTGTATACATGGCTTCGTACTTTGTGGACTCCGGAGATGTACATGACTCAGCTATTGATGATCCGTTTGGATGTAAACGTAGCCAGAATGGTAGGCATGTTCTTATGACGTTGTTTGATGTGTGATGTGTTCCCAGCAACTTGACAGTAAAGTTTCAAAGTTGATCAGTAAGATTCCAACTCGGCAGAAATTGGGTCTCTGGAAACTGCCTCAGTAATCGCTGTACTTTAATTTCCTGCTCTTTCAAGTGTTTTTCAGCAGTCCATTGAAATGAGGTTCTCCGTGTTAATAGGAAATATGTGAGGCTATATGTGATTTGCAGTTTTGTTTTGCATTAGTACATAAATCCTGATGAATAAAAAAGTGCATTATTAGCCACGGAAATTGAAAAATTATGTTTCCGTTTTCTGCCATGGCAACAGATCTGGGCCACAATATTGTACCCAATCAGCCGCCCCACCCAGACCAAACGGACCACGCCCACCACCACCACCAGTATCACCATGACGAGGAGGGCGTGAACACCTCGGGCGTGTCCACCCTCAGCTCCAGCAAGTCTCATGATAGAGACCTGTTTATGGAGCGGGCGTCGGCCTCCTCGATGCAGGTGGAGTACAGAAAGTTGGTACAAGAACAGGGAAGGTGAGTGACCCATCCCAACAGAGCCACTTTCTGTCAGGAACTTTAATAGAAATCTTGCTTGATGTAAATCAAGAGGAACCCTCAAAATATTTGCCCCAATTATACCGATGTGCATCAGGATGCATTGCAAAGTGATGCATGCACGTTCAAGCAAAACGCCGAGTCTGCTCTGTCCAATGATCATTGAAGCAGAATTGCTGAGAAAGAATATGGCCTTAAGGTTAAATATTGTGGGAGGCAGTCATAATCTTGCTAAGCGCGGAAACCGTGCTCAGCAAAAACAGGTTACCCAACCAAAATGCCCTGCAAAGTGTATGTGTGTTATACCTGTTCTCTGCTCATTTTTGCTCAGCACAAAACTCTGCCAAGCGATGAATTTTTTTTTTTTCAAAAATAAAGATAGGCAACTGTCTTATAGTTGCTGAGATTTCATTGGTTTCCTGCTCTGTAGCAATCATCCTCTGCATTCTGATTGACTAATAATAAAACTACCTGTTCATGTGTGTAAATATTTAAATTTGAAGATGACCCCAGTCAGGGGTCATAGGAATAAACAAGGAGCACACATGGACCTTCTTGGATGTTTTGGGGAATTTTTGTGGATATAGTCTGAATGGCAACCTTGAGCAGGTTACCTCATGTAGGAAGTAAGATCAATGCAATGTAACCTGGTCATTTGTAACTATTTTCCACTTACTTTCTCGTTATTTCCAGGCTACTGGGTGACCTTGTGGAAGTACAACGGAACCTCAATGACTTGCTGGGAGGTCATGTCAGGACAGGTCGTGACCTTGTTGACCACATGAAGTTAGTTTTATTTACTTAAAGATTACTTTGTAATTTGTAACGTGCCTGGCTTTGTCATTCAAGAAATTACCCTTAACCCAGTTCTAAGATTTAATCCCACAAATCAGTGATCATGATAGCCGACAAAAGTCATCTCCGACTATACCTCCTTGAGAACATTACCAATTCGTGTTTATTTCTTAGTTATCTCTGGTGTAGAAATCATAAAGTCTCTCCTTTTCTCCCAGGGAGGATGAACCGGCTAGTGTTGACGGAAGAAACATCGGTAAGCACTCTGCTTGAGCAAAATTGGGTGCCACGTAAAAGTCAAAGACTAAGAGTGTGTTGTTGGTGATTTATAGCAGTGGAAGATTTGAAAGAATTCAGGCAAGTTCTTAGCGAAAGTGCCCAGAGAGTGAGGATAAATTGGCCTTTTCACTAATTTAGATTAACTGTCAGAGAGGATGAAGGAAGAGAGGCAGGCCACTATGAATTGTCATCATCTCTCAGATTCATTGTAAAGATCCACGGGTTTGATGTCATAAAGTGTTTCTTTCACTGTCAAACTCTTGCCCGAAAAGTGAGCCTATAAACCAACTCTTCTTTTTGAAGGTCTTGTCTCTCTCTCCTTGGAAATGTTCAGGTGACGACTGGACCATCACCGAAGAAGAAGGGGACCAGGAACTTGTTGAGTGGCTACGAAGCCTGTCTATCGATGAGTACAGTATCAGCAGGGTAAGCAGTGTCGCTAAGCTGACAAGCAGAATACTGCTTAGAAGATTAATGTACTGAGCAACAATCAGCTTGGAACCAGTCAAGAGCGGTACACAGTACATGTCTGTTTTTTTAGCTGGTAACCTGTTTTTTGTTTAGCAGATACGATGAGTTCCCCTGACTCATTCAAATTGTGTTGAGACTAGCAGGCCGAGTTGCTTTGCGCATAAACATGCTTTGTAAATTTTGGCAACATCTGTAAACATTCTGACTAAACAATTTCACCCACTACGAAAACTTTCCAGATACTGTTTCTCCTGTGACACCTGTTATTGACAATCAAGTCCGCTAGAGTTACAGTCTGTTGATTGTTGTAAGATGCAAAACCTAAACTGCTAAAATTCAGTTGAAATTTTTGTTCCAGCACTCCATTTGCCCATGATGCATTCATAAAAAAGTGTTTATGTATTTATATTTCTTTCATCTTGACAGTTTGTGAGAGAGGCTTACACTCTGGAAGTCGTCCAAGAAATGATGACACGGAAAGACTTGCGTCACATGGGACTCAAGTATGCCCACTGTATTCTTTTCATTGCTGCCTTGACTTGTAACTTTCCTGAATCATTTGAATTGCTGTCATATACGAGAAATTTCAAAATGGAAAGGAATTAGTTATCGCAAATTCATTTTGAGCGTCTTTGTCATGGTTCTTTTCAGGGGCGGTGTACAGTGTCGAATCTGGAATGCCATTCAGAGGCATCGTAGAGACCCGGTGTAGCCCTGCTGTAACTTGGACAAGAAAATTGTACAGATCGTGTAAATATTTCAAATTGTGAGGGGAAAAAAAATGCAAAAATGGTTTCTTCTTGAAATCATTCTGTGTGACTAATTTCTTCCAGACTTTGGAAAGTGCAAAGAAATGTGACAAATACTGCCATCTGCCAGCGTGTCTTTAGAATTCTTGAAAGCAGTAAAATGCTTGCTCCTGTTTTGTATCCCTCAAGGAAATGATAAGAGGGGAATAACCTTTCACAGCCGTATCTTTTGTCATTCAGTATTTGCATCAGCTTGCCAGCACTAGCAAGTTTGCTGGATGAGGCATCTGCACTTATAAACAAGAGGTCATAGGTTCGATTCCCGTTAATGTAGCAAGTTTCTTGCAGACAGTGATTTATTTCAGTGGATAAACTTAAGTTACAATACAATTGTTTGCCCTGCATCTGGGTAGTGTTGAAAGTACTACGTACTTGGTGCTCTCCCAAAACTTGCTTGGGTGGGATTTGAACCCTTGGCCTGCTGCTTACTTGTGTAGGCATGTCAGCCTTTTTATTTTTGTTGATGCTGAGTAGATAAGGCTGTGCAAATCAAATGTATTTGATAAACCATAATGTGCTCAATTCATCCTAAAAGCAGTGCCAGTAAGAAAAAAAAAACACTACAATCACCTGCTAGTTTTCAATATTAAGGTTTCAGTGTAATTATGTAATTATTTAAAATGATATACATTTAGAGGGGATCTTCTTTTGTAAATTTAACAAAAATGTAATGTAACTTGTATATATAAACCTATAATATTGAGGGATTTTTTTTTCTTTTTTTCCTGCATCCTAGCAGTGACTTATTCTTGCTACTGACTATGATCAATGATGCAAATTCCTAAACCAAACAACTTGTAAACTGTCTCAAGAAGATACCGAAGTGTGAAACTCCTCTCCTAACCTGGCTCGTCATGTCAGCCCCTGTCAATCCGTTTTATTCCTTCCTTTCCCTGCCCACTTTCTGAAGCAATATAAATTTATTTCTCATGCAAACGGTGTCTTGAAGCCTCCAGTCAAAATCTTTTGTCTTCCAGCATCGATGACTTACTTGTTTGTTTTCCGTTTTGCTCAGAACATGAGCTATCCACTATAAAACCTACCGTAAATCATTCATGGGTGGCTCCCCCAACTCATGCCTAATTCAAGAATTCATGAGAGAGATGAGAAACCAGCTCGTACTCATACACAGAGCTAGTCGAAACGATTGCAGGGCAGACCAAATGTGTTTTTAAAGGCTTGAGGTGTTACCAATGGTTAAAATAGATTAAGAAACTGTAATTTTTTTTCTTTCTAAAACCCTGTATATGTTTTTTATGATTAAATCGCAAAACAAATTTGTCTTATTTAATCTTGCAATATGGTTGACATGTTTTTGGAAGAACTGAGCATGATTTAGTTCTGAATCTCAGCAGGAAACCTCAGAGCAGCATCTCCTCTCAAGGTTCTTGGTTCCCTCACAAAGACTTTTAATTTTATATAGATCCTAGCTAATATTGAAGCAGCCTGGATGGCCAGAAGACGAACGGCTCAATCTTTCTTGGATTTCCTGTTGGTACTAATCCGAAGTTGTATTCGCTGGCCATTTTTCGTAATTCACTTGGTTTTTACATTCATATAAATTGCCTGTGTTACTTCTGAAGTATTTGAAAACACGAAACCAAGTATTTTAAAGATATTTTTAAATGTTCATATGTTGCTTAGCTTTAGTTGTACAGTATATGTAATTCCTTGAAGTTGCACAACGTAGTGAAGCCATATTGCAATGTTGTGTTTGTTTGTTTGTTTGTTTGTTTCCCCTTTTAACCCAGCCCAACTTTAATAGCAGTAAACAAGAATGCAGGATTATCATAAAATGACAACAAAACACACTATAAGCTTAAGGCCAGGTGCTGTGTACATTAATATCGAATGCTGTTGTTATGGCCAAGTGTGATGAGTAAATTTGTCGACCATTGGCCAAAATCCCAGGTAACCCATGAGGAAAAGATACACTTGGTACCAGGGAATCAACAAGTAACTGAAGAGTGTTGCTTATCCACCTTTTTACAAACTATTTTATGTTACCTGTTGCCTGAGTACCTGCTGGCCCATCTAATGATTTTTTCATTGTCATGCACAGAATTAACTGATGTTCAGTAACTTCAATGTAAATACTTTTTGAAAAATAATATGAAACTCTGGCAATAAATCCCCTACGTACCAAGGCCAGCAGAATGAATTTAATCACTCGTCAGAGAAACAGAAATCATGTGCAATTTGGTTTCCTGCACTGCAAACAAAGTGTTGGAGTCTGTTGGTGATGATTGCAAATTAAAAGAAAATATCATTACAATCGTGATTGCATTTTGGAGTCCGGTTATAATTGATACTCTGCTGTTTAATTCTGTTGGTTGTCTTTCTTCATTGATTTATTTTTGCTTGGTTTTGGTTAGGTCTGGTATGGTTTGTCATGTCTTTTTGCTCAGTGAAATTTTATCTAGTCAATTATGGTCTTGTAAAACCAAGGAATATTGATCCTATAAAACCAACCCTTCAATCGATAATGTTACGCTGACAACAGGTGCAGACGACGTGCCGTGAATGTTAAGTTGAAGAGCGCCTCCAATAGGCGACATCGGGAAGGAGCGCTTGCTGTGTGTGACAGCGAGCTACCTGAAATGAGACGATTGCAGAAGACTTAAGAGGAGTGCTGGCGAGTCGGTCGACTGCATACGTTTTCCCCACTGTTTGGCTTAAATTCGATGTCTTTTAATTCAAATGCTTCGCAGGTTTGTTATTCTGGCGGCTAGTCAAAGCTTGGCCAAGGTAACTCAATAAAACCGTTCATTTTGACTCCTCAGTTAAAGGTTTTTTTCTCTCTCTTGTCCTTGTCTACTCTCGGCGTGTTGCCCCGGCCCTCTGTAATATCATGCGCATTTATTTTAACTAATTTGCATCCATCAGGAGCGTGGTTGCACTCTCGATCTCTCAAACTGTGCGGCGGACGATAAAGCCCTCAGCTAGGACTTTTATACACGTACCGTACCTGTGCCCTTTTGTCGAGGCACTCTTAATGACTAGACCTGCCATCTTATAAGCCATGCCAGCCGACATGATGGCCTACGTCATGTACGTGGCCAGTCCTGCAAGACCTGAGCCACTCCCCTGACCGACATCCGTCTGGTATCTGATGACGTTCTATTTCAAAAGTTTTCTTTTCAGTGTTTTTGGAACATTCCACTAATTGATTACAAGGATCACAAAATCTAACTTCTAAACACCACAGATTTTTTTCAATGTGGTTTTTATTAAATGGAGATTATTAGTCTGTCCACAATTTAGCTGTGAGATGCATAGCCCCACTACTGCACTTGTGTGGCACGCACTCTATGGAGCGGTATTGAGAGTCCGTGCCACACTAGTGGGGCTATGAGATGCACTGTATTTCAACGAATCCAGGCAATTGTAAAGTTTTATGATGTTTAAGGAACTGAAAATGGTTTTATTAGCCTGATAAGCGGGGGTAACAGTGAAGAGCCATTGCAGGTGCCATTTAGACTGATGTTTGCAGGCCTTATTTTATAACCTTTTTTAAGATCAAGTGCAGAGTGCTGATTGATTGCCATGTCTGCCTGGCAAGGAGACACCGCTTTCCGTTATCTCAACACCTGACATATCGCCCTCTTTCAACTCCACCCATCATGGAGGACTCGCAGTCCATAGAGCAACATGACCTAGTCCGAGATCTACTACCTGACCTCTTAACCTCCACAGAGGGCGGTAGATGGTTACCAGGGAGGTCTCTGGTAATGTCAGAAGTAAGTTGAGTTTGTTTATTTGTTTGTTTATTTGTCCTGCTGCTAAAAAATGAGATTAAATTAACTACAAGTAAAGTCCCTCATTAAATATCAAATGTGCTGTCATTGTTAAACTGCAACATTTCTCAAAATAAATGTACTTCACCCCTTATAAACACTTGTGCATCTGTCAGGATTTAGCTGTTCCTAATTGGTCTGCATTTACCACCACACCATTGAGGACTCTGTTAGTTTGAACTCCTTTGCTTTCCAGGCCCAAATCCGTCGAGTCTGTTCTCGCTACAGCCAGCTTGATGAGCCTGCTAAAGCCAAGTTTCTCTTGGCTTTATCCCAGATGTGTGGAATCCACCACGAAAGCGTCTTCAAAGCAGCTAAGAACCTGCAGTCCGTCCAGGTGACATCATTTCGCCACTCAATCACATTTTACATCAAGGGAAAGCAGTGCCCATAATATTTTCTTTGATCTGTTGCTAGATGGTCTACCAAGGGGATTTTAACAAAAATTGTTCCACAGTCCATACTTCATAGCATTGAGGGACAGTTGGCTTATATTGTAAGGCCATGTCCGAAACGGGCTTTCAGAGCTACGGCTAGGTCTATTGACTGTGCATTTCCACACATTTCCAATGGAGCGAAGACCTAGACCTAGCTCTAGACAACAGATTCAGATGCAGCCTCAATTGTGCAAATGGTGTTCAGAAAGAATTCCATATACGAACACCTTTAATTTTTCTCTACAGTGATCCATTAGCCATCTGAAAGCAATAAAATGTCCAATTTAGCACTGGAAAATATTGAGGTATTCACTGAGAAAATGCTTCTAACTTTTCAGACCAGTCTCACAGGATTTGTGCACAGGGTGGCAAGCAGCATCTGTATATGAATTCTCCCCTGTTTTTTTTTTTAATTTGGGACGAAATTCTCATTTTGGGGAAGGGGGCTTTGTGATCTAGCCCCTTGTAAATTCACATCATTTGGTGATTTCGACATTGGCTTTTTTCATTTTTGTTAACAGGAGAAAGAAGAGGCTGTTCTGCTTCAGTCAGAGCAGCGACTCACTCAGATGCTGACGCCAGGTTACAAGTTACTCTTTGCCAACATCGCACGACTGGAGAACGGCATCAAGTTCCTTGTGGATATGAGAGCAGACATTCATGTGAGTTGATACTCCCTGCTTTTATCCACCTTGAATTGAAGTGCACCCTCATGGGTGAAAAAAAGACAGACTGGTACGAAGTTTTCTAACCGGGTTCTTGCATGCGTTTGGCATGCATGTGAAGACCGTACAGTCCAGTATAAATTTGTTATGCATGGTCGGCGTGCCCTGTGTCAAACTTGCAAAACTTGCACGCCTTTGCAGTGATTTTGTACCAAAGGACTGTCACTTGCATCTAAAAACTTTAAACACACCCTCTTTTGTTCCCGCTCGGAGTGGATAGTAAAGATGAGTACATTTGAGGGGGGCCCATACTGGCATTATGACCCCCCCTGCCAGCAAAAGCCAGAGTTCAATCTGCTTTTCCGTTTTCCTGACAGACGTTCTTGCATCACCAACAGCAGAGCCTGTCCACTGAGGCTCACCTGAGGATGCTCCAAGCTACACTGAAGGACATGCTGTCTCACTGGTTCTCAGCCGGTCTCCTTCAACTTCAGACTATCACATGGCAGTCTTCCTGTGAAATGCTCCAAAAGGTGAGAGGCAATACGTCAAGACAAAATCACCGAGGTTGGCAACGAGGCTAGTTCACTAAATAGTCCAAGGCCAACTACTAATACAGTTCTATCCCAAAATAAGAGGGGACTAAAGATATTTTTAAAGGGACCACATTAATCAAAGATCCCCCAATTAAAAAAAGCCCCAAAACATTTTGGACCCACCTCACCAGTAAAATGGTGCTTGTCATACTACCCATTTCTTAATTACTGCTCACTCCTTGGGAACCAGACAGCAATGAGTTCCCGGGACTTCCTGTATTACAACACCTGTCTTTCTTTTGCCACGTCTCGTTCAGATCAGTGAGTACGAAGCAGTTCACCCAGTCCGTGGCTGGGCTGACCTCAAGCGGCGAGTTGGTCCGTACCGACGCTGCTTCGTCTACACCCACAGCAGTATGCCTCAAGAACCTGTCATCATCCTACATGCTGCTCTCACCGATCATATACCTGCGAGTATAAAGGTATCCTTCATCCTATGACTTCTGCTGATTTCAGTGCCTGTCTGTTGAATACCAACTTCAGTTAAGATAGTCCCAATTGCTTGCTGTTAAACACGGTTATTTAACCTTAGGACCTAATGAATAATTGCCATAAAAGAAACTTGCGCTTTTTTTTTTCAGTCCATAGTGGGAGAAACAAGAGACAGAAATTCCTCAAAACCTCCCCTGGCATTGGAAGAGCAAGAGGACCCAGGACGCATCACAGCAGCTATATTCTATTCCATCAGTTCTACACAGATGGGTGAGGCTGTAACTCATTCAGCTTTCTGAGGAAGAACTTAAGCGTAGACCAAACAAATAGTTCCACATGTGCATTAGAGGCAGGTTTTCAAGAACAGAAAGTTTTTTCAGATCATGGAATTTTTGTTGATGGTCCGTTGTGTTTTCATATCTGCCCATTTCTTTCACTTTATTCCTTGCATGCAGGTTTACGAGGTGTGGATTTGGGTAACCACCTCATCAAGCACGCCGTCCGCACGCTACAGGCAGACTTCCCTCATCTTGGCGTCTTCTCCAGCTTGTCTCCAATCCCTGGATTCCGGAACTGGCTCCTGGCCGAAATCGGCAGACATCACAAGGGTACAGTAAATTTAGGTTTGGGAATCTTGGCTTCAGACATATGTCTGCATTCAGAAATGAAATCAGTGATCAGTCGTTCGAGCAATGTTTAGGCTATTAAAGATCCCATTCTCTTGCAATCTGTGAATTTTCAATTGACTTGAACTGGATCTGAACCTCTTAGCTCAGGAATACCATACCAGCTTTCTATCCTCTGAGCCATCCTCCCGACATCTGTGGTTTGCAATTGTCATGTTGACCTTGATCTCTTTACGGTTCAACTGATGATTTTCAATGAAAAATATTTGTCGAATCTTAATGAAGACAGACTACTGTTTCCAAGTTCAACAGCATGACTGATGTTGCAGCAAATTTCTGATTTGGGGTTCAACTCCTGGAGAGCTCAGTTGCTAGTGAACCAATGCAGCATTCAGGAAACCACAGGTTTGAACCCTGCTCCAGTCAACACTTGTTTAAGATTAGTTATTTGATATTTTTCTTTGACAGGTGAAAATGCTGCAACGCTTTTTACTGCTGATGAGCTCAAGGCTGTCCACAGCATGGCAGGTCGATCTGACGAATCGCAGTTGGCGACGATGAGACGATTGCTATCGACCAATCAGTGGGCTCAGTTGGAAAAGTTAATTGATCAGTTGGAGCATCCTTTAATGCGACTGTGTGCAAGGTTATTTTGGATTTTTTTTTACGTGCAAGGTTATATTGGATTTTTTTTACCAGTTGATAAAATTATGTGGTAAAGAAACATCTTGATGGATACGAAATGACAAGATCAGACTTCATATTTTTATATTTTTGGACATTTTATTGTGACTTTTTTCTTTGACTTGATTAATTTTCCCTCAACAATGTCAATTTTGAACTTTAAGACAGTATACAAAATGGACTTTTTTCTCCTCAACACAGGTATTTGTACACAGAAAAACACAGAGGCTTTGCTTTAGACTCTGTAGGTAAGTTGAAATACATGTTAGACTTGAATATTGAACATTTAGATCAACTAAGAATTGATTTTTTTTTAATCTATTAATGCATGATAAATTACTTATCCTCTCATTTCTTAAATTAATAATTTTTTATATTAACTTGAACTGCGCCGTGGATCATTTTTATGGAAACGGTGCATTCTAAATTTTCAATTAATATTATTTTCAATTACCGTCATTATTACTTTATTTGCATGTGAGGCAGTTTGTATTGTTTGAAATGACAAAATTCAAAGAATAAGCAATATTTATAACTAATCAAAACAAAATCAAACAATTTTTTTTCTGATGTTGGTTATGTGTTCTACGTTTACTTTTCAAATTCACTTGGTTTAATGTTTCCAGCCAATTTTCACCTGGGCAATGGCGCAGTGATGTGGAGGCTGAATTGGATGGGTGACCCCTCGCCCCGTGGCCTGACAGCCTCTTGCGGCATGATGGTCAACTATCGCTACTACTTGGAGAGCACCCAACAGAACAGTCAGTCCTATGCCTTGGACCAGAGGGTGGCCACAACAGAGCAGGTCTTGGGCCTGGCGGAGGAAAGTCGACTGCTGGAACAGAAGAGCAGTCTATGATTGATGGGTGAAGGTGTGCTGTTTGTGAGATCAGTAGATCAACGGCGGCAGAATGATTTTCAAAGGGGGACAGCAGTTGCGCGACCACCAGCCATTAATAGGCTGCTCCATTAAGCCTCACCCCATTGTAGGATATGCAAAAAGTGATCGGGGAGGCACTGCCGATGACTAGAGTGTGCTTTTGTGGCCTACTTACGAGAGTGATCGAGGGCATGCAGACTTCATATACCTGTTCACACTCATCTAATAAAAGCCCTTACATAAAACATTCAGAACAATGCAAAACAATTTTCAAGTCGTGTGCATTGAGCTCCTGTATGATATCTGGGACATAATACTTAATGTGCTACAATTAATTTGAAGTCTTATTTTGAGACAATACAACTCAAAAATGAATTTAAAGACATTAAGACTGTATGCTATTTGTTGAGAACTGAAAGGAAATTTCAGTTCTGTGAAATTTTTATTTTCTGTGATTACACAAGTCGAATTTCAGAAGACTCTATCAGGTAACGGGAAAGTAAGCAGGCTTATGACTATGCTCATTGAACTGAAGTTACCTCTGGCAGTGTTAGTATAAAGAAATTTTAATTTTGAAGGCCTGAATAATGATGTAAATTTCATTGTAAAAGTTAAAATTATGGAGTGAACACCAGCTGTTTATAAAATACTGTATATGATAGAGACTTCCAAATCTGGTTTTGAATCTCTTACCTTGTTGTTTTTATTCAGTTACGAAGTTACGTAAACTTTTGGAGATTTATGAAGACTAAATTTATTCAAAGTGGTGTCATGGGTTGGGCTTTCCTGCCATTAACAATTTTCAATCGGGACTTGCAGCCGAGTTAGATCAACATTATTTTTTGTCTTTTACTCAGTCAAACTGATCCCTTATGTAAACCCCATATGAAGCTCCGCCCTTCTTGGTGTTACCGGCAAAAGGAAATTTCATTTTCCCAGTCAACAATCGTACTTTTTTTTTCAAATGTAGGAAATAAAGTCCGCGTCCATCTCGCTGCAATTAAGCTCGGTTTGAGGAATTATTTGATTTCCCCTCTAGAAAGTATCTCCACCCCTTTGAAGAACATTTCTAGTCCTCTGGAGGGCGCCCTACATTTTATAAACGCAACTCGCGTGTTTGATCGATGCGCTGCTGTACCATGTACACGTACATATATGTACTGTACGTAGTACATTAGTTTAGCACATGTTCATTTACGTGTTTCTCGAAAGTTCAGCTGCGGAAGCTTCGAAGAGAGGCGAGTGGCACACTTTAACCGTCGCGAAACGGGTGGTTTCTAGTAGATTACCGTACCGGTGCTTATAGCATCTGCTCCTACTTGAACTCAGGTGGCAATGGCGAACGCAGAAGTAGAAATGCAATGCTACAACAAGGGTTGTTCGAAAAAGTTTTTCCCATCTGAAAATGGATCAGGTAACGTAGGCTAGGCCTAACCTCCAGACTTCCATTTTGTCATGATGTTCTTCAACTTCTTGGGTGTTCTTGCATGACGTTCACAACTACACTAGGCATGCTAGGCCAAACATCAACTTGACAATTTTCACTCATGTGTTGTCACTGACTGATACTCGGCCTTTGTCATTCAGTGTAATGTAATGAACATGATGAAAATTCTTTTTAGGCAGTTAGGCCGTAAGAATGAATATCCCGGATTTCTGTCCACCACCCGCATACCGCTGAAATGGCTGCCAAACATTTCTGATTATTAGCTTACCCAAAAAGTTATTATTTCGGAAATTCCTGTCGGGAATGCTTAAAAAATGGCTGCAAAGTAAATCGGGCATTCGTAGTGCGCCCGCGTACAAATGGCGTGATGCAAGACAGACTGAGCTATGAGAGCTAGTCTACTTTCAAGGGTGGTTCCCTTTGCATGGACATGTACTTACCATTGATGTACGGTATGGACACCAACTAATGGATAATGAAAAAAGCCTCATGAGTTTTCAAAACTGTCCAGACAGAAATCCAGGATGTTCATTCTCATGGCTTAAAGGAAAGACTTCCAAGTTCCATATACAGACACCAGTAGTTACTCCTTACCATGCCTGTAGTGACCTATAGGCCTAGCTATCAGAAAGCAAAACCATGTCAAGAAAAATGTAGGAGGGAAAATACCGAGTCGGTAACTTAGAAAACACTGAGAAGTTTTCAGACTAGTCTCCAAGGGTTTATGCACTGGGTGTCTAGTGGTGTCCGCATATGGAACTCTTTCCCTTTCAAATGACAATAGAGCCCAATTGATAATGGTTAAATGTAGACATGATGAATGGACGAAATGATGGACTCAGGCTGCCTCATTGTGGAGGGTTAGTGCTTTGATATATATTTGATGTGTCAAACTTTTTGAGGAATAAAATCATTCATTTTGGGCATCTGACCCACCATTACTATCAACTAAGAAATAAGCTCTGGTTTATACATGTACTCTTTCATTTCGTGAATATGATGAATGTGGTTTTATTTTTTCCCATTCTGTTCTTACTTTCCATTGCTAGAAGCTTGTATACATCATCCTGGTGAGCCAGTATTTCACGATGCTTACAAAGGATGGTCATGCTGCAATAAGAGAACTACAGACTTCACAGAATTTTTGAATATCCCGGTAGGTTTCAGTCTAAATTATGGAATATCGAAATTGGTTTGCGATCATGTGCAGGGATAAGTTTTTCTTCTTACTTTGAACTGGTTCAAGTCATCTGACTGTTTTGACCATTGTGCTGTATTCATCTCGAGTCATGATCTAGTCTCCTTATGATACGACGCTCAAGATGAACTGTTTTAAAGACCCAGTTACAATGTGTCTTTGAAATGTCAGCTCAGGATGTCATTTTTGAATCTGATATTAACTTGTGGTAATTGTTGATTTACTCTTTCAATTTGTGTGAAGGGTTGTGCCAAGGGCCTTCACAATAACCAGAAACCACCAGAAAAACCAAAACCTGCACCAATGTCTAAAGAGGAAAAAGATGTAAGTAATTTAAGCAACACAAAAGAAGACTTTTCAAAATGAGAAACCTAAGAAAGTGTCACTGGTTTGCTGCGGGTTGATTTTATCAGGGTTTGTCCAAAAAATATGACACAGGTTCCTAGTTAATTGCAGTAACGGTGCGTCTTTGTCTTTTTTCTAAAGTTTTCTTGTAATCTTGTTTATGATCTAACAAAATTTGTGTTTTTTTTCCCTACACACAATTGGGTAAACCCTCTTAAAACATGCTTTTCCCTTTTCAGATATGTTTTGTAAATGATTTCTTTGAATGTAAAATAATCGTTGGTGATGGACATTTTTTCTTTGTAATAGAAAGTCATTGTTGTGGAAGTTGCCAAACCAATTAAGCCAATTGAACCAACAGTAAGACCAAGGTAAGAACAACACCTTATTTAAGCAAAATTCAAACTCCTACTCCACCCCTTCCCTAGTCCCCCTCCCCTAACCCAACCCTAACACAAATCACTTTTCCATAAATCAAAATGTGCTACCAGTTTTACGGACTTTTCTTTTCTGCCTTTACTCATTTGTTTGGTGTTGTTTTTTGGTTGATTTTTTTTTCCTTTTAGTGAAAATGAGCCAGTTATAAGATTACCTGTTACTGTCAGCGCATCACTGAAGACAGCCTTGGAAAATCTCACAGTCAGCACTCTTGAAGCAAAAACAGGTGAGTCTTCAGGGGGGTTGGGTTAACCAAACAGCCTCATGAACCCAGCTCTTGAGGTCTGCATGCATGCAATTTTAAAGGATTCACAGAGGGGACGGATAGAACACTAAACTTCTCAATGTTATTTAAATAAAAAAGGACTTCTGCTGTAGTATGTTGGATTTTCAAAAATTCAGAAAAGTTTTCTGTTGAAAAGTGGCATAGATAATGAGGGTAGTGTACTGTGGGGAAATGTGTTTCTGTGGGAAACAATGCTTGTTGCCTCTGCAGTGCAGTTTTTGTGTGAAGTGTTCATTTATCCATCCTTTGTCAGATAAGAATGCTGCTTTGAACGAAGTTGGGTTAGGAACAACTTGTAAAAACAAAGGTTGTAAAAAGGTAATCCTGTATTTTTTTAATCCAGAATTTGATGTAATTTATGCAATAGAAAAAGTGAAAAATTCTTCATTTGAATATTCCTCAAAATATTTAACAGGATCTTACAATACATGTTTCTTTTAATGAAAGTACTTTACTAGAAAATTGGTTTTAACAACTCATTATTCTCACAAGTAAAAGCATCGAATTTCTGCCATTTGGTTTTAAAAAATGTAAAAAAAAAAAGCAGTCTTTAACTTTTTAAATTTGATCATTGCATAGTGTTCAACATTTAAAATGTCTCATACATATTTATTGATTTTTTTCCCCCTTGTCAACAGTCGTACACCAGTGAGCAGTCCAACTTCGAAAAGTGCTTCTATCATTCTGGCAAGGCAATTTTCCATGAAGGGTAGGTTGGAAAAGTTGTTGGTATTTAATTTTATGATGCATGGGTGAGTTGGTACTTCAGTCATTGCAGTGACTCAAGATTCAGCCAGTTGGGAGGGGGGGGACGAGGTATTTTGAGAATTAGTAAGCAGCTTGAGAAGGGAGGCTCGTTGAACAGAAATTGCTGTCTTGTTTTGTTTTTTGTCCAGGATGAAATACTGGTCCTGCTGCAAGAGAAAAACGTCAGATTTCAATAATTTCCTAGATCAAGAAGGCTGCACCGAAGGCAGCCATGTTTGGGTTGTCAAAGAGGAGGACTCCAAGAAACTAGTTGACTGCAGGTAAATCTCATTCTTTTTGAAGCTCAATAACTTGGCAGAAATACTGTTTTCTTTTTGTTTTAATCAGCATTGAGCAGGTTGAATAGTAGACCGTCATTTTCGTGACTGATTTCCTGACACCTTGCCTATTTGCATGGCTGCAGGTACGACTGGCATCAGACTTCTTCTCTGGTGGTCCTCTCTGTGTATTGTAAGAACTCCCAGCCAGACCTCTCGTTTGTGGAGGCTAACCAAGTCCTTCTCAACGTCAGCATTTCCTTCAATCAGGCCAAGAATCACTTCAAGAAGACCATCGTTGTGTACGGGGTGAGTTACAGCATTCACAGATCCTGTGCAGAATAAGCCTTTTGCGATATAAATTTGAATAAAATCTGGTACACTGAGTTATCTGATTGCACATAAACGTAACAATTTGAATTCCCCAGACTACAGACACTGGTGCTGTACCCAGTGATTTGGGGCAAGCTTTTGCATCGTGACCACCATCTCTGGAATGACTCCCTTGTTATTCATTGATAACAGTATATCAGTGCAAGACGTCTCTCATGTAACTTAGCAAAAACTTGCCCCGAATCACGAGGTATAACAACAGTGTCTTTAGTATGGAGAATGCAAATTGTTACGTTCACATAAACTTTAAGAACTCAGTGTACCTGAGTCTGTTCAAATTTAACTTGCAAAAGGCTTATTGGAACCGAAAATTTATGCTGTCATTACCAGTGGAAAATATGTTAATATTGATGACCTTCGGAGCATCTTTTTACATGTAAAACTGGCCACAGAAAAGCTTGAAATCCCAAATATAAGACCAGCAATGTTGATAGCCAACCGCAAATATTGTCGTAATTGATTTTGGTCTTTACAATGAACCACACACCTAGCAAATCCAAGTAAAAACAAAATAGAAATAAATTATTTAATTTTTTGATGGCTGTTTCCTAGGTGATTGACCCCACCAAAAGCTCCATGACGATGTCAGGTAGCAAATGCGAGATCAAACTGAAGAAGGCGGAGGCTTGCTCCTGGAAGAAGTACGAGTTGCCCCCGGCAACCAAAACCACTGCCGGAGAAGACAAGGGCAATTGATGATGGTTATCTCATGGCTCATGTATTGAAATGATCAGAGAGCTGTTTCAGGAAAATTATGGTCTTCGTCAAACCTCTGCTGAGGCGTTGTTATCCAGAAAATTGTCTGCTTTTTAGACTTGCCTGTTGTGAAAACTGGGCATGAGATTTAGTAGCGCCGTTGTTTACTTCCCAAACAGACCAGTTGCAATAGTGTAAAAATATATTTGGAAGAAAGATAGGCCAAATATGAAGACAAATTTTGTCTGACAGCTGTCGTAGAAAAACAAGTATAAATCAGTCCTGATCAAATGCTGGTATTTATTGAAAATTTCTGTCACTTGCAATCAGTTTTTAATACAAGTTTTTACATCTTCAAAGCACACAATTTTCGAGGCTTCGCTAGTCAGTGTTTTTATCCAAAAATATCCACAACTTGTACAGTTAATGAGAAAAAGATGGATATTTTCTGTGGGATTTGTGGAATCTTACGTGCAAGATTAAATGTAAAGATAATAAGATCAGTTTGAAACTGAATGTCCGTTGTAGACTTCCCTGTCTGTTTGTAAGAAAATGTACAAAAACTGAAAAACTCCTTTGTACTTATTTTTTTCTAAATTGAAGGAGCATCAGAGGCAAAAGAGTTTTGAGTCAGGTAGTATCACCGACTTAACAATATTAGTCTTGTGTAATACCTCCTCATTTCATACTTTGTTGGGGAAAAATGTAACTTGTTTCAGTGCTGGCAGAATCTGCCTTTTGTTAATTAAAACTGTCATGTGATAATTCTTTCTATCTCGGACATTTCACGTTCTTGAAGTGTTGTTGTCCCACTAAAGTTTTATTTTTAGTACCAATTGGTACATGATATGGCCTGAACCCCTCTAGTACCTTGCCCCTTGGATAAAATTTAGCTTCAAGAAAAATATTCCAAGAGTTGCAAGAATTGACTAATTATGCCGTAGCAAAGAACAAGTTTGTGAAGTCTTTGGTCTGAGTTACGAGAAAGACACGCCAATAACGGAACACAAAAATTAACAGCTAACAAAAAATCATGTGATTACTGAATAATGGTGAGATAACCCTGAGACCCAACGACTGGTTTAAACAGTGGAGTTAGGTCTGCTGGGCTGTATTGACATCATACACATGAAGGCCAAAAGATAGAGAGGTTTTGAATTCCTGAAATATTGACGGGGCTAAGAATAATTCATTCCATTTAACGTTCATAAATCAAGAACTAAACCTAGCAATTTGGGTCCCAATACGGGCGGTTCACAATAGTACACCTCCAAGAGTTTGCAACGCTTTGGCCAATCACAACGCGCAAAATCTGTCGACCCTTTCCAAACATGCATTGGGTTGACAGATTTCACGCATTGTGATTAGCCAACGTGTTGCAAACTCTTGGAAGTTGGAGGCACATTATTGTGAAACGCCCATGATTAACAGTGAAATAATGACAACCAAGCATAGATGGTTCGCCATTTTCATACATTTTTTGACAGTCATAATCATTTGTATGTTTGTCAACTTAAAATAATAATAGTATCTTAATATTTTCCATCCTGTTTGTTACGTTTAATTATTGTTAAAAGCGTGTCTAGACAGCACAGTCAATGGCTGACGCAAACGGATAAGAATCTATCAAAAATGTACCGCGCAAAAATCTAGTACTTTAACTAGTACTAGTAGGCTGTTGATGCTAACGTTTGTTCAGCGTCTTGGTTGAGATGAAATCCGGACCTTTAAATTCAGCTTTCTGTCAGAGAAATCACATAACATTCTCAAACATGTCAAATGATCTACCGTTTGGTCTGCAATTTATTTGAAGTTAAGCACCAAAACAAACAAACAAACAAACAACCCAACAAACAACCCCAACACCCCAACAACCCAACAAACAAACAAACAACCCAACACCCCAACAAACAAACAAAAACAAAGAAAAAGGTGGGTAGCAGCAAAATCGAAGTGCAACTTGTACGGGAATTGCCGATGGACGACTACTCTTCGCGGCTCCACTTTCTTAAGTATGCTAACGTGTCAATACCGCGAGCGAAATATTTTTAGGAATGTTAGGAATTGAGGCTAAAGTCCAGAAACTCCAGAAAAATGAGGGAGAAAGTACCACTCCGACCTCGCCAGGACTTGAACCTGGAACCCCCTAATCCGTAGTCAGAGTTCAAAGCCTCGGTGACTGGCGGGGTGTGTATCAATATTATTATGTAATTCTTATACCGCACAATGGTGCACATGCCGAAGTATAGAGGGCGGTATTGAAGTCATCAGCAGAGCTCTGCTGATGAGAAGTTGGCAAAAAATGTAACGAAGTTACGGGGTCTCTTGATTTTTCCCGCATGATGTCATCAAAATGGCGGACAACACAGGAGTAGATGATGGGCCATTCCAACCAAAAAGTGGTAATTATGACCTTGTTTTATTCTAATTGATGTATTTGTCGGACGGGCTATGAGACTTCATTATGAGGACCAATTGGTTCCAAACTGATTCGAGAAAACCCTCAACAAAGTTGTTCACAAGCTTGACTATAATAAGCCGGTCTTGATCTGTCCGGTCGCCTGCGGCTGTCATGGCTGTGCACGCCTGTAATTTGTTTACGGGGTTACTTCTTGGGGGAGCATGTTAATTACCTTTGACTTGTTAGAGGAGAGTGGCACAGTCTCGACTGGAGCTTGGGCCTTATGCTGCGGTCAAAATAAATGATCTAAATGCAAGATAGAGGCCTAAAGTGAAAGTGCTAGCTGCTTCTAGTTCTACTATTACCGTAGGTTTTGTGGACATAAATATGGGTGAGATATGCCCTGTCTGTGTCAAAGGAAAATAACAGGTTTTTAATTTGAATTTAACTGAGACAGCAATGGTGACTGAATGAGAGTTTTGTCAGGTGACGTAGGACAATACATGTGTAAAAGAGATGCAGGAAAAGTTTGCACAGTAGCCAACAGATGCAGAATTTGATGAGCATGATGAGGCTGGGCATGGTGCATGGTGAGCCTAAAAAAGCCTTTTATAGGAAAAAAGATATGAAATGAAATTGAGAGGGATAATTTCACTGAGAAAAATGCCATTTTCCCATGTACATAGCGACAAGAATAAGGCAGAAAATACAGCATTTTAGTTGATTCATCTTGGGTTGAAGAGGCACCCTTCCACTTTTGAGATTTCATGTGTGGTAAAGTCAGTGTGTTTGTAAATTATGTAATGCCATCTTGACAGCAAATTAGTTGCAGTAAACTTTCCCCTACAGACCCAAAGAAAATGTCTTGAACTGTAGGTCAGGGTTTTCCACATTTTCCATGTTGTTGGAAGTAGAAGTTGTCAAGAAATTGATCAGGCCTGTACTTTTTTTTGTCCATTCAAGAGCGCCTGGGTAAAATTTGCCAGTGTTTGTAAGTTTATTAGATAAAGCAAATGCAGGTATATGAAATTGTTTATAAACATTTCCACTATTGCTTAAGCTTTCACGTGTTAAGGAAGCATACATCATGTTAACCTGTTACGAAGTAGCTACATGGTGGTATCAAACTGTCGCCAATGTAGACTTGTTGTGTTTGCATAAGTTTGTCAGTAAAGTTCTATCAAGTTGTAGTGTTTCTTCATATTCTAAGTAACATTTGAGACGACGTTTTGTGGAGGTTTGTCTTTGGAAAATGTTGGAAGTTTGTTTTCAAGCACTTAAAGGGCAAGATGGCTATGGTGAGAAAAAGAAACTCTGTGCATCTTCTCTCAGTGTACTCTGTACTTCAGGGTTCTAATTGGCAAATCATAAATAATAGAGATTCATCGTAATGGACTATTTTGTAGCCAAAACTTTTCAATGCAATATTGGTACATTTTTTTCTTACTTAGAATTAACAAAACATCTAAATGTTTGTCATTTGGCAGCAGTGGCAACTAACCCTGATTCTGTCTGTACATGTATGTAAAGATTTCGACAAATGCAAATCTTGCTGAATTTGTTCACGGGTAATAGTTTTTCTGGAACATTTAAAAAAAAGAGGTGACCACTGGCTCAACAGGTTTATTTAAACAAAAAACAAAAACAACACCAAGTGGTAATCCACTTATCAAACCTTAAATTGGTCGTTGTATTTTGTACCAAACTCCATGATCATGAACACGCAGATGTTAACTCCTGTTGTACATGTATGTTGTACTACAAATTGTTGAAGCTTCAGTCCAAATCTTGGACTCTGGTCTGTTGTAGTCTTGCTTTCCAGCAGACTTCTATTTTTAATCAGATTTGCAAAGTGACGAGGGAGTCTGTCAGAGTGACTGTGTTTCTCAGACTTCCAACCTTGGCATTGTTTACATCCTGCCATGGTCATCTCCATGACTGCCAACAGGAAAGTCAGGATGTGTGCTGGATCCGTGCCCAGCAGAGCCCATTGATTGTAAGCCTGTGAAACCAATCCATCACTGCATTATGTAAAATACATGTAGCTTGATTCATCAGACTCGTAAATAGGGCTCACTGTACATGTTTTTGAGCACAAGACTGCAAACGTAATGTGCATGGTTTGCATGCATGGTCATCTACAGTACGTTTTGCTTTGTTGAAATTTCCAGAGACTTGGAGAGAAGAAATAAATCACCAGAGACATAGAGAAGTTCAGAATTGTGATAGATTGTGAATTCTATGGAAATCAGAGTATTTAGTCATTTTTCAGTGAGATTCGTAAGATGTAAATAATCAAAGAAATGAACAGGTTACATGTATGTTGAGGCAAAAGTGTGCAAATGGAATTAAAATGTGAAATTTCTTAGGTTTTGGTTAACTGTGAACTTTGCTAGTGCTAGTTAAACTTTGTGGAAACTTCTATATGTAAGGTTGCAAACATGTATGTACACATACATGTACATGTATGTGTGCTTTCACAAATAAACCACTACTGATTTAAGCATTTAATTTCACCAAGCAACAGTAGAGACAATGCAGAGCAGTTATTCATTTATGTTTACTCTGTTGCCATTGACTACACTAGTCTTCTAGTACTACTGCTTGAAACTCAGTCTATCAACAACGTCCATCTCTGCCGTCTTTGATTCTGTGGTGTTACGCCATAGCCTGATGTTGTGGCAAGGTGTACAGTGGAGACAGGCCTAACCTTGGACGTGTCATCAGTTAAATTAAAGGTTTCTCATTATGTATTTTCAGGGTGGTAATAATCATTGTAAAGGCTGTTTTGCCCAAGGGAGACTCCCGCCGTCCCGCCATCTATTTTCCCTAATGGATGCCAAGGTTGTCGGTGAATTGGCTCTTGCATTGTCGCATGTGTGCAGAGCACCGTGATAACGATGTTGTAGTCCTGGATAGAAATGAGAAACCAAGAGATTTCAATTGGAGAGTTTTCAGTCTCCTTCTACCAGTTAGTTTCGCTCTCTGGGTTGATGTCAGTGTTGAGATACAACATTGTATTTCACTCGAATGTATCAACATGTACATGTACATGTCACCAGGAAGCCACTTTCCGATGTCAGTGACATGGTGTTATTCACAGTACTGACATACTGTCACCAGAGGCATTGTAGCAGAGATTAGCAACTCAAGAGGGTCATTATTTGTTAGTCAGTTTTTCTTTGTTGTGTGCCCGAAATTCCTGATACTAATGTTATTCTCTCATTTAGAATTTTAGTCTATGTTGTGTGGAGGTATTTAAGTGATTCTTTCTCTTACATGCACCTGGCCTGTACAAGGTCTTATAAGAAAAAAGAACTTTAAAAAAGAATAAAAATCCTGACAGAAAAATCTGAAGCTAGGAGTAGAATTTGCCATCAATATGACTTTTTTTTATGCTTTCTAGATCTGGAATCCCCCTCCCAAAAATGAAAATGAAATACAAATGCGATCTTTTTGTAATCATTTGTAAATAAACAGGATTTCTATAAAAAGCTTGTTTTTCAGCATTGTCATAATTGGAAATATTTATTTTAAGGAAGTAGTTAATAATGGCCAACACAAGAAATTTGTGGTTAGTTGACGAGGTTCACCTGTTTTCTTGAATACTTGAGGTGATTGAGTTGGCGAAGCTGTAACTATGACAGGCTCAGTCATGTCAGCATTAACAAGCCCAAGTCATTTTGCGACTGGAATATGCAACTGTTGTTGAATAATACGGCGAAAAGGAACCAGCTCATCCGTGAACTGGGGAAGGCCAAGTCACCCTCTGACTCTGTGTGTGTGTAGCACATTTTGATGAGGTGTTGCCTGTGTAGGAATTAAATGAGAATTGCCAGGGTGTTGAATGTGTCTTCCAACGACATAAAGTCTGAATATGCATGAACTGACCTACTGTACTGTGATCGAATGAATAATTCACAGCCAGTGCTGAGACTTCAAAATGTCTTGCTTTGAATGGCTTAGGGTTTGTTAATTAATAAGCTACTGGTATAAAAAATAGGTCCATTGTGATTGGCCCAGGAAGTTTGTAGCAGGTACAAGTACATGAACAGCTCATTAATAATAGTAATATGCAAACCACTGTTGAATAATCATGAAGCTTTACTTGAATTTTCCATCCCTGAGATTTCACTTCCTCCATTTTGTCTCTTTGAAGAATATGTGGTTGTATGTTTAACCAGGGGTGAGATTTCTCAGCTTTTAAGCTGATTTCAGCTTTTTTGTGTGTTGGATTGCAGCTTTTTTCTCACTGGCTGTGTACAAAATATAGGAGATTTTCACAGTTCAGCTTCTTTATGCCTTTTTTTTAGCAGTTTTCAGCTATTTTCATCTTTGCTCAATCTCACCCCTGTTTAACCCTTATCCCCTGGAATACATGTACATGTAGGAGAAAAATGATATTAAATATTGAATTATTGAGTATATAAGGAGTTATTTAATATCAGGTTTAGACTGAAAGCACAACATGCTAAATTGCGCTCTTCAAAACCTTTGTGCCTCCAATAGCATATGGTATTTTGAGATTTTTCTCTCTCAGGGGAAAATTAAACTACCGTGACCAGCAATGTGTGTGAGTTTGTTTGAAAATATTAATGTTAGATGTACAAATTGAGCAGCATGTCTCTTTGTCATGCAGATAGAATTATAAGAGCCCTTGGATTTACTGCCAGTGATTACAAGCAATAAATGGATGCTCCAGTCACGTTCAATTCATATGCCCCTCGTTCATGTGGTTCATCAAAGAGGAAGGGGAAGAGTACAGGTGACCTGCAAGCTTTGATCCGACGACATTGAGGCACTGTATCAAGCGCTAAGTGTCAATTAATGACCCTGTGTCGGTAAAATGGTAATTGTAAATAATAAATTTTGTGTACTTTACCAGGGGTCATTGTCAAGCCTGTTGCATCTTCAACTGATGTTCATGTTTGTGTTAGATGTTGTCATATGGTGACCAAAATAGTTTTTTAAAAAGTGAAAAACTGATATAGCGGTAGATAT